ACCCAAGCGGCGAGGCAGTGTTTTTTCGATGGGAGAAAGTTTGGGAAGTGCCCTTCCTTCTGTAAGTAGAAAAAAAAGTCAAACGTTTAAAAAGCAAGGGCAAAAATGAACCACAATGCTTTTCTCCTCAGGATTTTTTTTCCCCAGGATGGCCGCTTGTCATCAGCAGGAAGGAATTGCTCCCCGTGGATCAGATCTGAACGTTAAATTCAAACAGATCTTTTGCCTCGGGAGATTTTCAGCCTTCGCAAACTAAACTAAAAGACCTTTCGGTGTGCTTGTTTTATGAAGGCCAGATGGAGCTTTCAGAGGCATTGCTGAATGGAAAATCATATTGCTTTATTTGTTGGGGAGAAAAAAAAAGGAGTAATGAAATAAAGGGAGTGAGGAGATAGATCCAGATAAGATTTAGTCTTAAGTTACTCATGTTCTGTGTGTTCAGTCTTTGCATTTTTAAAGTAGCAAAGTTAATGACTTAATCAGACGGCTCTTCCTTGTTTCTTTCTGTCTTGTTTTTATTCCCTCAGTTTGATTTCATTTACAGCACCTCCTTGTCAAAATGTACTATGAATACTGTTGATTCTATCTACGCTACCTGACAAAAGTCTTGTCGTCGATCCCAGTTATAAGAGCAACGAATAATAATAACTTGATTCTAGTTGATCATTTGGAAAAGTGGTAGAAGGTAGATTTTTTTTAGGTGAAAAACTTCATCCCAATGATCACAAATACTGCAAAAGACCTACTGGAACCCGCATGGGCCCAAGATTCTCACAGAAATCAGTCAAGTTTGGTGAAGGAAAAATCATAGTTTGGGGTAACATTCAGTAGGGGGCATGCGAGAGATCTGCAGAGTGTATGGCAACATCAAGGTACACAGGTACACAGGAGTGTATGGCAACATCTGAGGTATCAAGACATTTCATTACAAACCACAAGAGAGGGCAAATTCTTCAGCAGGATAGCGCTCCTTCTCGTTCATCAGCCTCCTCATCAAAGTTCCTGAAAGCAAAGAAGGTCAAGGTGCTCCAGGATTGGCCAGCCCAATCACCATATGTGAACATAATTGAGCAAGTCTGGGTTAAAATGAAGGCTTCGAAGATGAATCCAAAGGATCTTGATGAACTCTGGGAGTCCTGCAAGAACACTGTCTTTGCCATTCCAGATCACTTAATTTCTATTTTTTATTATTTATTTTTGTGTACACCACAACACAATATCAATAATTCACACTTTTTTATAATAACTAAGGGTAAACAAGAGCATTCAAAAACAGTCCCCCATAATGCCCCCAAGAAAAATCCAAATGAAAAACGCACACAGCAACATTAGCAACAACATGAATTTTCAAAGCAACTAAATAAATATACATAAAATATAAAAAACTCAATCACAGATTAATAAAAAGGGCAGAGATCTTGAATTTTTTTTTATTAAATAAAAAATAATAAATCAGAGGTGTGTTGTATTCTTGACAAAATTAATTAGAGGAGTCTAGTTGTTATTTTTTTTTTTTTTCAGTGGAACCTCTTAATGGAAACCTATGTTTTTCAATATATAGAAAATACGTTAAACCTTCTAACCATAAAACCATGAAGACGTCCAGTGTAATAAAGTCTGTCTCCGGGTTATCAGTAACGCAAAGGCTAGAACATTAGCATTCTTATTTTCAGATGACTTCATTAATAAGTGATTTAAGTCATTGCAGAGATGTATGGATGCAGTCCTCCAACCTCATGGAGTCAGACACAATATTCACTCTGTTCACTGCAGCATGACAAGACTAAGTAACAAGACTACTGTCTATGCAAGGTCAGACCTTACTGTCCTAATTAAATCATTAAAAATCAAGGCATGATCATATTTTATTTTGATCAAATAAGCGTAATCTACAGGACTTTGCCTAGCTCATAAGCCACTTCTGATACCAAATGATCAACTAGAAGTCAAGTTATTATTTGTTGTTTCTAAACTTAGATAGGCGACAAGACTTTTGTCAGGTAGTGGTCACAAAATTAAATCTGTGTAATTTGATAAAGAGTTTGGAACTGCTGAATTAATCGAATCATTATATTTTTAAAACCTCTTTTCACTGTACATAATCTAGGCTTTTGTATGTACATAAGATAGTTATTATTATTTGCTTGTCTTCTTGATGTACATAATACCATCAGTCGTTTCCATGTACAGTTTCCTTTATTTTCTTCTTTTTTTATTTACATGTGCAAGAAGATGTTAATGGAATGTATGTAATAAGTGAGCATAATATTCATCATGGCAGCGCTTTTAACATTGTAAAACAGCAGTGGCTTGGTAACAGGTTGAAGAGTCTTTTAATTTCTGTATTTCCATCTTTAGGTGCACCTAACTTATGAGCTTTATTTATGATCTTTTGTATCTAGTTCTTCAAATAAAATGTCAAATAAATTATTTGTAGTCGGAGTTATATATTGTCAGGTATGAATATGAGAATCAGCACCTCCAAGTCCAAGGTCATGGTTCTCCACTGGAAATAGATGATTTGCCATATCCAGGTTGGAGGAAAGTCATTAACCCAGATGGAGGAGTTCAAGTATCTCAGGGTTTTGTTCACGAGTGAGGGAAGGATGGAATGTGAGATTGACAGGCGGATTGGTGCAGCAGCAGCAGCATTAATGTGGTTGATGTACCGGTCTGTTGTGGAAAAGAAGGAGCTAAACCGAAAGGCAAAGCTCTTGATTTACCGGTCAATCTATGGTCCTACTCTCACCTATGGTCATGAGCTTTGGGTCATGACTGAAAGGACAAGATCTCAGACACAAGCAGCTGAAATGAGTTTCCTTCACAGGGTGGCAGAGCGCACGCTTATAGACGGTGAGGAGCTCTGACACCCAGGAGGAGCTCGGAGTAGAGCCGCTGCTCCTCCACATCGAGAGAAGTCAGCTGAGGTGGCTGTGGCTGTTTCGGATGCCTCCTGGACGCCTATCTAGGGATGTGTTCCTTGCATGTCCCACCAGGTGGGGGCCTTGGGGAAGACCCAGGACAAGCTGGAGGGACTATGTCTCTTGGCTGGCCTGTTAGCACCTCCGGATCCCCAAGATGAACTGAAGGAAGCGTCTGGGGAGAGGGAAGTCTGGAGTTCTCTACTAAGACTACTGCCCTCGCGACCCGGCCCCGGATAAGCGGATGAAAATGACATAAACATTCGCTCTAAGTTAGTTTAATGACTTTCATGATCATGTTCTTGCATTCAGATAGCAAATATGGAATATTAGAACACTAATTTTTATAAGAAAGGGGAGGTAAAGCAAGGCAAGTTACATAAATACACAATGGTAATTAGAAAAATGCTGGGTTCATGTTGTCCATACACCAACTAGAAATTATTTACATTTATTCATTTAGCAGACAGTCTAAAGTGACTTACAAATGAGGACACATTCAGCAATTCAACAAGAAGAGGCAATACAAACAAAAAGTGCTAATTACACAAACAAACTGTTAGTGTTCAGAGAATTAAGTGCTAGAATAAGAGAAGGGAATGTATTTTTTAGAGAGAAGACTGTTTCTACAGGTGATTTGTCAAACTCATTCATCTGTGTGAGGCACATTCATGGTGTGTTCACACCAGATGCGAATTAGGCCTCAAGCGTGAGTGACTTACATGTTAAGTCAACGCAAAGACGTGAATAGACATCCTACGCGTGAATGAGGTGGCACGAATAACGCAAGTAGAGCATTTTGTGTGTTTGACATTGACACTGCAAATTGCTCTAGTTGGAAGCTAGCTCTTGTAGGGGAATGATTATGATGTAGCACCTGTTGTTGGCAGTGTTGCCAGACATGCGATAATATTCGTATTTGTGGATAGATTCGACACTACAATGTACGATCAATACTGAAAAAAATTCTATAATGTTTGATAGTTTCAGGATTTTTTAGCATTTAAAGAGAATTTCATTGTAATCTTAGGGCTTCTATACTAATTGGTCTCGCTGCATCTTTTCTCTACTGTCTGTAGAATATGAAGTTAGACACGTTTTCTATCTCATCTTATGTTACATTTTCTCAGCCAATCAACATGGAGAATGGCTCAAGTAGGGCTGAAAAGGAAGGTGAGAAGGACAGTGGAGTTTGTCCTTGATGTTCTCGTTTTTCCCTATTTAAATGCATCTTATGAACGTGTTTTTCCAAAGTAAATCTCTTCAAAACAAAGCCACAAAACCAGCTCATTACAGATACTCTGAATGTGCTCGTGCACACCTCAGAGTGTGTTAAAAATTCGGAAGGATGCACTGCCTACAAACCAACCAGTACTATGTTGTGGACCATGACGGCATCCAATTTGTAATGCAAAATGAATCCCTAAACATCTGGCAACACATACAGGTATCCAATAGCAGCGACATTGAGGTGGAGTTTAAACCTTCCCACTAAGGTATGCCTATTTTTTTTCTTTCTCTTGCCGACACCAGACAACAGCTTATCAAACTGGGCTTGGCTCAGTCTGAAGCACCGCTGAAAGCCTCCATCATTCTGGTATAGTTTCTGGAGCAGCTGATGAACTCACAGAGCTGGTGCACCTCAGAAATGAGGATCCAGTTCACTCAGACATGACGCCGAACGAGTCTACGCTGTTTTTCAGATTTCCTAAAGCACTTACAAGACAGCTACTCAACAAAAACCATGTTTGCTATTTAGCAATGAACATTCACAGGGAAGACAGAAGCTTTGCCCATGACGTAAATCCATGTATACTGTGAGGTGAATTTGACACACGAATGAAGCGAGTAAACTCAAAACGTTCACACGTCCAGTTACACTCGAATGGCATCTAGTGTGTACAGCATCAGAATTGCATAATTATTTGAGGTTGATTTGTACATTTTTTTTTTCTGTGTAATTTTAGTTTGTAACTGTCTGACTGTCTTTTTAGGAAGGCCAGTGAGAAGTCCATTACAGTAATCCACCCTGCTGGTGATAAAAGCATGAACAAGTTTCTCAATGTAAACAAAGCATCTAATTCTTTCATGTTTTTGAGATGATAGCATGCTGATTTGCCTACTGTTTTGACATGACTACTGAAACTTAGATCTAAGGAGTTGTAAGGAGTTGTGTTACACAAAATATAACGTATATAAATCTGTCAAATTATTCTCCAGATCGAGCTCTTTCAGGTGGGATGAATTTGATTCCAGCACTTTAGTCAGTTGCGCCACACCTTCATGTGTAACTTTACAGTCAGACAACCTGAAGAAAGCAGATTAGATTGAAGACCATGAGAAACTGAACATGAAATGCTAGTTATACAAGTGAAAATAAATGTAAATCTGACACTGTTTCAAATCATTTACCTCAGCCTCTGTAGTTTACAGTGAGGATTCTGCAGTCCCACACAGAGCTCCTGTACGCCTGAGTCTTGTAGATCATTAATACTCAGATCCAGATCTGTCAGACTGGAGGACTTTGAGCTAAAAGCTGAAGCCAGAGCAGTACAACTTTCTTCTGTTAGTCCACATTTTTCCAACCTTAAATAATAAAATATTTATTAGTTGTTTCATTTTTCAACATAATATGCTTTTCACATTTCCAGGTTTCTCAGTAGCATCATAAGAGTATGCGGGAATCCTAAAGGTAATTTCCATACCTTTTAAAGATTTTTTAAAGACCTGACAATATTTTAAGACCTCATCAAGTTAAGAACTCTTCAAGTTCTAATCAGTATCAAACCTTTAACTTAATAAACAGTTGTAGTTAAATCAATGGAGCACAACGAAAAGTGTACGGAACATGGTTGGTCTATGTAATATGCTTACCACTGCATTTTTTGATTCAGTAGAAAAATGTAAAGTTGACTTTGGGCAAGATATTCAAAGTTCTGTTAATTTACAAATATATTCTTTCAGTTTGTTTTATGGGTTAACTTAATGTTAATGGAAACGTTCCACAGTTTAAGATGGTAATGTTGTATATTTGCTAGTTTTCAAATGAGGTATTTCATTAAGTATGCTAATCTGCATACATTTATAGTAAGAAAAAATAAGATTAGTTGATTAAGATTAAGTCAGATTTAAAATTATGATTGGCATATTAGTCTAAGGATTTTACAGAGAGGTTTGGGGAATCTTTTTATTCAGAAAACTCTTTACAGCTATAGGGGAAAATATTTTTTTCTGAATAATTACTTTTATATCATCAAACATATAGGGTATATGCACAGCTAGTATTTCTTCCCCCACTGATAAACTTCCGGTGAACGGTTAATGTGACTTTTTTCAATTTTATACGGTTCCTTTCACAGCATTGATGTTGTTATGTATAAAAATAGAATCAGTTAAATAGACTTCAGCATTCATAGTTCAACGCTAAGGATTTTTTTTTTACTGGTCCGATCGGGCCAGCGGTTAAGATTTTCACTGGCCCCACCAAAACAAAAAAAAAGGGAAGTTAATAGCTATTTTTAGCCGCATATTTTTAAAAATGTGTCAGAAATAAAGTCAGTGGAACCCCTTCAATACTTACAAAAAGTTAATAAAAGTGTTATGCAAACAAAAAGAGCAGTATGGAAAATGAGTGGTTTTTCAATTGCGGTTCGAAATCATTTAACAGAAGGTGGCTGACTTGTCAAACTGAACAAAACATCACTTAACTTTTTTTTTTTTTTTTTTTGTCGCGATGTTCGCAAGTAAATGTCTGCTTCCAAGATGTTAGAAACAGACATTTTCTTTTAGCCTTATAATATAAAATCTATACACAGAAAAGTACATTTAGAAGTCTGTTTTGGATTCTTTATATATTTTTTTTAACTGAAAAAAGAGAAAAGTTATCTTTGAAAGTTATCTGACTTCTAACCTCTTTATGTTTGTTGTAACTCACTTCAGTGTTTCCATTACACTGTGATCTTTCTCCAGAGCAGCACAAAGATGTTTCACTCCAGAGTCTCCAATGGTGTTCCAGCTCAGGTCCAGCACTTTCAGATGGGAAGGGTTTAAACTCAGAGCTTTGCCCAGGTAATCACAACCTGCTTCTGTTATTCTACAAGCCCTCAGACTTGAAAGAAGAGAAAATGCATATGTTGTCCCAATCAAACATCAAAAAAAAATTTTTTACACAATTTATGAGATGTACACTCATTTACAAGTATTTTATTGAACCTACTTTAAAGATTGCAGTCTGCAGTCTGTGTCTTGTAGTCCAGCAGTGCAGGACACATAATCTTCAGCGATTTTGGCCTGCCCTTTGTCATTAAGATTGTAGATTGAGTAGCTGCACCACTCTTTTATCCTGAAGTGACATTAAAACTATTTATTAAATATCTTCAAATTTAATAGATTATTTGTAAGTTTATTTGGATGTATTCCATAAAAACATACAGTTGTTCCCTGTAGCGTGATCTTTTATATCCAACACTGATTAGTTCAGCTCCTCTGTCGTCCAGGTTGTTGTGGCTCAGGTCCAGCTCTCTCACGTTAGATTGTGATGAAATGACAGCAGATGCGGTTATGCAACCTTTATATGTTAAATTACATTCCTTCAACCTGCCAACAATACATGTTTGTTATCATTTGTAGTAGTATTTTTTTCGTTTTTGGACAAAAATATAAATACTGGGTACAGTGAGTAAGTGGATGCGGTTTGCATAAAGTATAAATTTAGGATCTTGTTTATACTTGAAGGTTTAGTTCACCTAAAAATGACGTTTCTGCTATTAATTACTCACCCGGTTCAAACCACTGAGACCTTTGTTCATTTTTAGAACACAAATTAAGATATTTAAGATATGATATTGGATGCGCCTGTCATTGGTTTCAAACAGAAATTCATACAGTGCTCGTGAACAATATTGAAACTAGCCATGTTTCCATCCAAAAATGTAAATTAAACTGTAATATTGTATAAAACATTTGTGAATAAAGATCGGTTTGTATCCAAAGAGAACAAAATTGTCACTTCCTGATAAACTGGTGCCCAATATTAAAAGGAAAAAAGTGAATTGGCTGCGGTAGGAGAAGCCACTTTAATTCTACAAAGTGACGTCATTGAGTTTTCAGCACATCTGTTTAATAATTCTTGAGAAAGACTTGATTGGAACCAATCAGCGCGCTCTATATTGTGAACGAGATGCAACTTCATTAATATGCATGATATGTCTTAGAATGTTTTTACCTGTTTCAGTTTTCAGAGAGACGCCACGTTGTGTTGCCAACCGTAATTCAAACAAGTAGTAGAAGAATTGTTTGGAGACACGGGTCGTCAGTGTTGCATTTATAAATGTGCTGCAACGAAGGTTTTATTTCCATTTCCCCGCAATGAAAGCACTTGAGGACTCAAGCAGTTGGATTACAGTGATCTGCTAACACGCGACAAAAATAGGTTTGTAAGAATTTTTTTTTTTACCCAGGAGAAAATGGACATGGTTAAATCCAGATTTACCACTCGTCGACTTTTAAAAAAAGACGCGGTTCCAGTTGGTGTTGATTGTCCTGTCTTTATGGATTTGGTATGTGTGTGATCAGTGTTCTTTGTTTATGTTTATTCAGAGGCAAAGTTAGTTAGTATCGTCAGCCGAACTCTTTCAGTGTCTAAAGACGGATCTTAGTCAAAATGATTTAGTTACTGTTTGGATGTCTGGATGTTTGGATGATTTAGTTTGTTATCACTACAATATTATGGACTGAAAATCCTCCGCTTCCACACAGCACTTAGGTCCACTGTAAATGTTGCTTTTCGCATCACTGTCTATCTCCCCTGCATTTGTGTTTGTGTTTTCTCTGTGAAAATCAGCTGGGATCCGTTCTCCGTACCTCGCTTAAATGATCTAAGATGATTTTGCCGATCTTGGATCTTTTAATCTCGATAACTGATCTCTCGCTAATTTGGTTCTTCAAACATGTTTGCGAATCTAATTAGAATGTCTGGATAAACTGATCTGAGATCGCTGTGTGTGTTGTGAAGGACAGATCTATCGATCCTTGAAATCATGATCAGCAATGCAGCGATTGGCTGACGGCACAGCAGTGTAAAGACATCATCTGATTAATATTCAATTATCCATGTGAGCAAAATTACATCAAATTAGCAGTAAACGATTTGTTAAATATGACACGCAATAACTTTCCACATTTATTGTGAGCTGCAGGCTTTACACTTTCATGTGTCAAGAGCATTTATCATGTATTTTAATGCATATCAATGTATTTAGTTCTACATTTAGAAAAGATTGTCTTTATTACAGTTTTATTACCGTTTTTTTTTAATCGCTGTATGGAATAACTGGATGTTTACAAAAGCATTTTGATATTGGTAAAGGTGTCTGCAACTTTTGTAAAGCATAATCACTGGCATATTAACTGTCAAAGCATGTTTATGACTGCATAAATGTATTATTGCTTTAAAAAAGTCACATATTGTGCATTTCTATTATCATACACAAATTGTACTAAATAAGCGATCTAAAAAGTTCATATCAATAAAATTTCTCTTTGTACTTTCATTTCGTGGGTGCAGATTGCATAAGTTTTGTTAATATAACTTTATTTTATTAATAACTATAACTTTATATATATATATATATATATATATATATATATATATATATATATATATATATATATATATATATATATATATATATATATATATATATATATATATATATATATATATATATATATATATATATATATATATATATATAAAGTTACATTTTTTTTGACTATTTTCCCAAGTGTATATAACTACTACTGTAAGAAAATATCATAATTCGGTACTTTCTCTATTATCTTTGCTTGAACTGACCCGATCTAATCCTGTTTATATGAATTGAACCTGCTTCCGATCAGGTTTGAGCTAGCAGAACTGTTGCTATGACAACAACTCTCAGATCAGCTTTCGTGGTTCCATCCCAAAGAGGGAAGAAATCACTTTCGCGAACGCTCACGCTCAATCTGCCCAGTTGGTGGAATGAACTCCCTAACTGCATCAGAACAGCAGAGTCACTCGCTATTTTCAAAAAACTACTAAAAACTCAACTATTTAGTCTCCACTTCACTTCCTAATCTGCAATTGCCTCTCTGAATATCACACTAACTGTACCCAAAAAAAAAACTAAATAAATAAATAATAAAAAAAAAACGAATACTACTAATACTTTTCTTCTTAGACATTACAGACCTGAAACTTGCCTATAGCGCTTATTCATTGTTGCTCTTAGAGTTGTGTAAATTGCTTCCTTGTCCTCATTTGTAAGTCGCTTTGGATAAAAGCGTCTGCTAAATGACTAAATGTAAATGTAAAATGTAAGCTTTGAAGAACGAAACGATCCTGGATCGGGTCAAATCATCAATATCCAAATCCAGCTAACTGAGTAATCCACGTACGAAGAACGGACCCCTGTTGTGCACGTACTGAAACTCCCCTTTTCATGCAAACCCTTCCCTCTTTCGCTACTCAATGCTCCCACCTAAACAAAGCTGGACTCTCCCAATTTCCTGACTTTTTTCAAACTAGAGGTGTGAAAACACCCTGCTGAGATGGGGAATGGACTGGACTGACATTGTTTCCATTTACTATGATCTTCTATGTGAAGCTGCTTTGACACAATCTACATTGTAAAAGCGCTATACAAATAAAGCTGAATTGAAATGAATGCTTTAAGCAATTTTTTCATTTAATGTTCCAAAATGCACATAAAAATAGATAGATGGAAACATAACCACAAATGCATTCTCGTAGCTTCGTAATATTCCGATTGAACCACTGATGACACGTGGTCTGTTTTACTTTGGGGGATGTTTTTTTATTTTTTTATTTATCTTTTTGGATTTTGGATTGATTTGAAGGACCATTGCTGTCTATGGAGGATGGAGGTCTATGGAGCTCTCAGAATATTTAAATGTGTGTTTTAAAGATGAATAAAGGTCTCTGATGATTGGAAACAAATGAAGAGGAGTAATTAATAACAGCATTGACATTTTTGGGTCAACTATTTCTTTAAGGTTTTTATTTTATTGACTGTTAGCACAGTTAAATGTTCTTACCAGATCTTTTTTGACAGCTTGATCACAGGATGCATCATGTTCAGGACCAGGTCCCCCTTTCCATATTTTTGAAGTTCAAACTCCGCAAACTTCTCATTGGATGCCATTAAAATGTAAACCAGAGCTGAATAAATGTGTGGGTAAATAGGGCCACTATTTAGTTTTCCAGAATTCAGGTAACTTTGCGTTTCAGTAATAAAGGACTGATCGTTAAGTTCCTTCAGACAGTAGTGGAGAAGTAGAGCCCTTTCTGCACAAGTGATGCTTTGTAATATTTTCTTTAGATGCTCAATAGTTTCCTCTTTTTCCAAGGCTATGTATTCCTTCTTCACCAAAAGATCTTTTATGAGGCTGTAATTTGACTGCAATGAATGTCCCAAAAGGAATCGAAGGAAAAGATCAAAACGTCCATTCAAATTTTGTAACGTTTTGTTGACTGCAGATTTGTGTAAGCTCAACATTGTCATTGGCTTTCCAAATTCCTGTGCTTCAAGCACATTTTCACCATTGTTGTGGAAGGAGAGGTGCACATATAGAGCCGCTAGATGTTCCTGAATGCTCAGATGAACAAAGCTGAAGACTTTCCCCTGATACAAGCCAAACTCCTCTCTGAAGATCTGAGTGCACAATCCTGAGTAAACTGAAGCTTCTGCCACATCAATGCCACACTCTCTCAGGTCTTCCTCATAGAAGATTATATTGCCTCTTTCCAGCTGCTCATACGCCAGTTTCCCCAGCTTGAATATCATCTCTTTATCTTTGTTAATTTCATTGTATTTTCTGTCTTTGATGTTGATCTGGGCCATCAGGAAGTGTGTGTACATCTGAGTGAGAGTCTTGGGGATCTCTGCAGTCTCTGCTTCACTCAACATCTTCTCCAGAACAGTGGCTGAGATCCAGCAGAACACTGGGATGTGGCACATGATGTAGAGGCTCCTGGAGGACTTCAGGTGTGAGATGATTGTGTTGGCCAGACTCTGATCACTGATTCTCTTGCTGAAGTATTCCTCCTTCTGAGGGTCATTGAAGCCTCGTACCTCTGTCACTCGATGGACACACTCAGAGGGGATGAGATCTGCTGCTGCTGGTCTGGAGGTGATCCAGATGAGAGCAGAGGGAAGCAGATTCCCCACAATCAGGTTCGTCAGCAGCACATCCACTGATGTCTCTTTGTTTGCATCCCTCAGAGTCTCGTTCCTTCTGAAATTTAAGGGAAGCCGACATTCATCCAAACCATCAAGAATGAACAATACTCTATATTTGTCACTGGATATTTCCATTTCTTTAGTTTGAGGGAAAAAGATCTGAAGAAGATCTGACAGACTGAGTGTTTTGTTCTTCATCAGATTGATCTCTCTGAAAGGAAGTGGAAATATGAGCTGGACGTCCTGATTCTCCTTCTCTTCAGCCCAGTCCAGGATGAACTTCTGCACAGAGACTGTTTTTCCGACGCCAGCGACTCCCTTCGTCAGCACAGTTCTGATGGCTTTGTCTTGTCCAGGTATAGGTGTAAAGATGTCTCTGCATTTTATAGGTATTGTTGCTGTTGCTGCAGTCTTCAAAGATTTTTCTATCCTTTTATACTCATGTTCATTACTGATCTCTCCATTCCCACCCTCTGTGATGTAGAGATCTATGTAAATCTCATTGAGGAGTGTTGGGTTTCTCTGCTTTGCAAATCCTTCAAAAAGGTACTGATGTTTCTGTTTTATGTTTGATTTGAATTTTTTAATTTTGACTTCAAGTGTTTCAGAATCCTGTCTGTTGAAAATATGTTTGTCAGTAACAGTACATATGCACAAATACAGATATTATAATTTGATTATTGGTGTCTTTGACATACTGAGGAATGAATCTTCCAGGTAAGCTTTCAGCCGTCAGGGTATCCTGATAAGAGTTTGTCCGTGAATACCTTACAGGCAAAATACAATTTTGAAGTGAGCATCAAAACTTCATCAAAAAATTTGCATTCAATACAGAAGGCATGATGACTTTTCCTAAATTAAAAAATATATAATCTTGTGTCACTCATTCACTTGTTTTTCTGCAACCAAGCAGGTAAAGGTAATCACAACCACCTAAAAAAGAGCCACAACACACTAAGGGCTCAGCACACTAAGAGCACTGTGCTGCGTCCGACAGATCGCACTATTATGTTTTTCGTTTTCTTTTTCATTCTTTTATAACCTATTTTAACTCATTTTAATTTGTTTTTATCTGTTTTTAATAATTTTTATTGTCTGCATTTTATGCTCCTAAACTTGTCTTTTTTATTCCTGTTTATGTAAAGCACTTTGAATTGCCACTGTGTATGAAATGTGCTATATAAATAAACTTGCCTTGCCTTGCCTTGCCTATTTTAACGAGCTAGGCACAAAGTCTAAAGGGCATGTCGTAAAAGCATTCAGGGCGTGTCCGAATCCACTTTTGCTATTTTAAGAACTGAAAAATATGCTTTGTCTAAACCGTAGTCTAACAGGGATGTGCTTATTCTCTTAATGAGATATGGCTGTGTTTTGAGCATAACATGCAATCAGAGTCTCATCTCCTATTTTCTTTAAGAGACAGTTACGTCAAGAAATGGTACATTTGCTATTTACATGGTGAACTTTGTAAATAGAAAAACTGAACGCTTTACTAGCAAATTAAACAGGCCATCTACAGCAAGAATAAAGAACGAGCCTTCTTTATTCACCCTCTTTACTTTCTTTTTACTTTACTTCTACTCTTTTACTTTTGTGGAATAAGGAAACGGTGTTGTATACACTTCCCTGAAGACATCCATTAGCCTACATACATCATTTCGTTTGTTAAGTGCAAAGATTTGTTTTGAAACTATTTCTAAATTCAGTTCAGGGTTATATCCCAACACACATCCTATTCGTATGCCCCATATGGTGGTGCTTACATCACCAAAACTTGACAGGTGGACAAATCTAAGCTTGTTTTAATTAAAACAAATATAAATATGCATAAAATAAATAATAATAATAATAACATTATAATAAAAATGCAAATGGCCGTGCTATCCCTGGCTGCTTCTGTGGTGGGCTTGTTTCCCAGCTACATGGTGGCTAACAAAAGGGGCAAACCCTCTAGGCCCCATGTCCCCTTTTTCCCAGAGGTGCACAGTGAGCTCATGCAGAATTGGAGGGCACCTTTCTCTTTCCAGTCTGCATGCGCTTCCGCCCTCACCACCCTTAATGGCTGAGTAGCCAGGAGGGGGTATGGTGCAATACACTAGGTGGAGTGTGACGTTTTGTCTATCTTTGTCCACAAATCGCCTTTTCCAGGAGGAGGTCAGCCAAGACTCCTGTCCTAAATGTGTAGGCTGTCTGCTTCCCTTGGGGCCATAGCCTAAACCGACCTCCGTCCTGCATGTTATGGCCACGTAACAGCGCTACCAAGCACAGGCATTGGCTGAGCTGCATGAGGGTGGAGCTGCATGATGATCCAGAAATGCCACCTTTGGCTAAACTTGGCAGATATGCGAGATGTTGATATAGTTTGCTCGAGCAGTTGAGTGTGATGGGGCAAGTCATCTATAGGTGAGCTCAGAAACTGCTCTCCCCACCGACCCATCCACCTCGGCTTCTCCTCGCTAAGGGCGCCCGCCTGCAGCTCCAAGACCTGCTTCACCGCCCCAGCTCACTCTACCAGCTAAGCAGCAGTGTCGAACCCTGTAAAGTCTGGTAAACAAAGCAAGGGAATGCTATGTTCCATCCCCCTAGCAGTTGTTCCTTAGCTCATAGCTGTGTGTTCGGCTTCTTCAGCTCAAAGTATTCCGAGCTCTCCACAGCTGATGGCTTTATAATAATAATAGGCATTCGTTGGTGTGTTTTTTGTTTTTTTTTGCTCTTCAGAATCATAGACTACCTGGCAATATCCTCCAATTTGTCAAATGACATAAAGCATTTTCATTCCCCCCCTCGTGGAACGAGGGTCATGCATGTAACTATTTCGTTAGAAGTCATAAAAACGAACAGAAATACAAGTCTAAAACTTGTTTACAAAGCCTTAAACTGGTTTAACTCGTTCATAAAGTTTCCTGGTTTGGTTATATATAGGTCTCTACTGTGCGGTACTGTACTGATAGGATTTTCTGAATAACTTTTGTATATTCAATTTTTTTTTTATAATACAACATGATTTAGTTTTAACAAGCTGAGTGCTTAATGTGTGTGTAGTTTTCCATGGGGATGATTTTTTGTGTTTTAAATGTGTTAAGAATGTATTTTATTAGTGATGTGAGATTCAGATTCAGTGAGTTTTAGTGTGTACACTTTTGAAGGAAAGTTTGTGCCAGTTTAAATGGTCTTATTAGCATTAAAACAGTACTGTCAGGATTTACTAAACACAGTGAAGAACCAGCACTGTTTTTACACCTGATGTTTATAAAATAAGTTTTGTTGGAAATTCCCTGTCGGATGCTAATTTTATTGGAGGAAAATGTTTAAACGAATCACGCAACACAATTTACTAATGTCACACAAAGTTCTAAAGTAATTAACACATACCTTTGATCCCCTGGATTTTGTCCGTTTTGTAACTGAATTGGTGTTTTCATTGATTTGTCACTTTTCAGGGACACAGCACTGGGATCAGGTGAATGGTGTCTTTGCTGTAAACTGCAAACAACAACAAAAATATCTATCTCAATCTTGGCTAACTTTTATTGCATTCTTACAAATGATGCTCGTCATCGTCAATAATTAAAGACAAAAAAGTTTTAGATGCCTCAGTTGTTACACAACCAAAAAAAGTGGATGTTACATCACATATAACTTAAATATGAATATTAATAATAATGTAAGAAAAGCAATTACCTTTGATCTGGAACACTTGTATTTTGTAATTGAATTGGTGTTTTCATTGATTTGTCACTTTTCAGGGACACAGCACTGGGATAAGGTGAATTGTATCTCTGCTGAACACTGCAAACAGCAATCCATCTCACATTGAGTAACAATGATTACATTGTCAACGTCAAAAATTAGGGACAAAAAAGTTGTTACAACTAAAAACAGTGGATGTTACATCACAAACTTAAATATGATTGCTAATAATAATGCAATTATATTTAGAAAAGCAATTATATTATAAAGAAAAGCAATTTTATTTACCTTTGATAAGAAACATTTGTATTTTGTAACTGAATAGGCGTTTTCATGGATTTGTCACTTTTCATGGACACAACACTGGGAACAAATGAGCCTGATCTTGTCTGAACACTGTTAAAGCAACACCATCTTTAGCATTAGAGAGAAAGATTGTTGAAGCAAATATAATTTTAGCCTTCAATATACTCTAATCTGGCTACCACATTGTCAAAACCAACACAGCTACATGTAAAGTTCATTGGATTTACCTTCAGATAAACAGAATTAAAAAAATTGATTAACCAAGCTTGAACTTTCATAATTTTTTGCTTCTTTTTGCAGACTTTTTAAGTTCTGTCTCTCGCAGTAAATACTAGCAAAACAAAACAATTCAGTCTTTACCTTTGATACCCTGGAGGATCTCCATGTTTTATTTGAATTGGTGTTTTCATTGATTTGTCACTTTTCAGGGACACAGCACTGGGTTCAGGTGGATTGTATCTCTGTCGAAAACTACAAACAGCAAAATGATCCATCTCATATTAAGTAATAATGATTACATTCTTAACTAATGTTTGTCATCATCAAAAATTAGGAACAAAAAGTTATTACAACCAAAATAAGTGGATGTTACATCACATAACACTTAAATATGTATATTATTAATAGTGTAAGGAAAACAGTTATATTTACCTTTGATCTGGAACACTTCCATTTTGTAATTGAATGGGTGTTTTCATCGATTTGTCACTTTTCATGGACACAACACTCGGAACAAATGAGCCTGCTCTCGTCTGAGCGCTGTAAAAGCAACACAATCTTTAACTTTAGAGAAGAAGATTATGTTACAGCAAACATAACTTTTGCATTCAGTATACTGTATCTGGCTTCCACATTGTCAAAACTAACACAGCCATATTTAAATGTAAAGTTTTTTGGATTTACCTTCAGATAAACAGAATTAAATTTTTAAACTAAGCTTAAATTTTCATAATTTTTACTTATCTTTGCAGACTTTTTTTTTTTTGCAGAGGTTTTGTCTCTCTTGCAGCTAAAAACAAAAACAAAACAATTCTGTCTTAACCTTTGATACACTGAAGGATGTCCATCTTTCATCTGAATTGGTGTTGTCATTGATTTGTCACTTTTCAGGGACAAAACGCTGAGATCAGGCGAATGGTATCTTTGCTGTAAACTGCAAACGACAAAAGAAAATCCATCTTAATATTGGCTTACAATAATTACATTCTTACAAATTATGTTTGTCATCATCAAGAGTTAAGGACAAAAAAGTTTTAGCTGCCTCACAGTTGTTGCACAACCAAAAAGTGAGTGTTACATCACATACAACTTAAATACAAATATTAATAATAACATAAGAAAAACCATTATATTTACCTTTGATCTGGAACATTTGTATTTTGTAATTGAATTGGTGTTTTCATGGATTTGTCACTTTTCATGGACACAGCACTGGGTTCAGGTGAATTGTATCTCTGCCGAAAACTGCAAAATAAATATTTGGTAACAATGACTACAACTCTGGGGGGATGGGGGTCAAAAAGTTTGCAGTCATAAAAACAAAATTACAATCTTGTCTAAACTCTAAAAAAATCAACAGAATCTTTAACTTTACAGAGCAATATTATGTTGCAGCAAAAATAATTGTTGCCCTTAGTGATGTTTAGTTAAAAATAAATCTGTATTATCAGAACCAACGGTTATTTTAAGCCATGTGTACACAAAGGTAAATAGATTTACCTTAACTGATAATTTTTTTTAACTGAATGGGTGTTTTCATTGACTTATCGCTCTTTAAGGATAATAGACTGAGCACAGGTGAATCTGGTCTCTTCAGCTGAACGCTATTAGGTGCAACATAATACGTCTTCACAGATCAGGGCAATTAAACATCAATTCCCCTCTAATAATTTTTAGAAGATTAGTGTTTTTTGTAAAACAAAAAAAATCAATTCAAAACGTAAATAGCCATTCTAGGTTGGTAAGTAGTATAATACATATTAACTTAAGTACATGCAAATATATATATATATATATATATATATATATATATATATATATATATATATATATATATATATATATATATATATATATATATATATATATATATATATATATATATATATATATATTTGAAATCTTACCTTCGCTCTTCATTGTCATCTTCAGCTTTCATTATGATGTTTGCTGAATAGATTTTTAAAAATTCATAACTACAGACTGTGAGAACTTTCTTGTGCTCTCAAGTGATTTGAAAAAGCAAATGACAAGGAATGAGGAAGGATAACAACAAAAAACAAGGCTAGAACTTGCTTAACTTGTTCATAAAGGTTCTGGTTTAGTTTTTACAGTTCACATACTGTGAGGTTGTGTAAAAATTAGTTTGTGATAGTGTCTAAATAGACCTGTATATAATGTTTTGATCATAAAAGTACCTACAGATGATGTTTGCTTATTGTGTATTTTTATAATATAAACCTGTTCTTCAATTAATGTAGTCTGTGAGAAAGGACACTGTTATAACCTTTTTAAGTTAAGTTTTGTTTAAAAGGGGTAACAAAGAAGACTAAAATTTGGTAATAATATTGAATTAGAACTAATAAAAAAGATAAACGTGGAGAACACACTTCAATCCTTAGCACCATAGTGAAAAGTCAGCACAAGGTTTAGAAAAAAAGAAACATTATAATTTAATTAATGGAAATATGAGAACTTTAACAGAAACTAGATGTCAAGCGAAGTGAGAATAGCCTAAAACAACAAACAGAAAGCAGTTGTTACTAAGTTTAGAGGACTAGCTTACCTAATGCAAAAATCAAAGATGAAAATCAACAACATAAACTTCCCTGAGCTTCCTCCCTCAACCATAAACACAGGCGAAAAGATGTACAAATTAAAATAAGGCACTCACCCTTTGGGCACACTTGGAAGTAAATCTCAAATTAAATACAAAATAATGTTTATGTTTATATGTTATGTTTTATAACAAATTCCTCTTTACAGATTACCTAAACTGATATTAATAGTTACCAAGTTATTGATTATGTATTTGAATAAAACAATTCATATTATTAGAGCTTCAGAGGGGCTGTTTTAATCCCAGAAAAATTACAATGGTTTTAGTAAGTGTGCAAGTGTGTATTCAAGTGGATTTGTCTTTGTCTCATTTTGTATTTATAGGTATATTTTGCAAGGACGTTATAATGTATTGTGTGTAAATATATATATATATATATATATATATATATATATATATATATATATATATATACATATATATATATATATATATATATATATATATAAATTTAATAAAGTTACTGATAATATATTGGCTTTCTTTCTCATACAGTGCTGATACTGATTACATCTGTTGCTTGCAGGACATGTTTGAGGTGTCATTGCAAGCAGACATCATTCATACATCCTACAACATGGTTCAAGTAATTCAGAGTTATTTTCACCTACAAATCTTGAGGTAAATATTTCACTTGCAAAGCATCATCGCTTGTCAGGTAACTGAGGATGCACAATTCTTATAGTTTAAATGTATTGTTTGCTTTATGTAGTTGTACAACACTTTCAGTTTTTTTCTGAACATGAAAAGTAAAATAACATGCATCAAAAGATAATACAAATAGTCACGTTTATTTTCACAGATGGTAAAAAATAACAGATTGATGTCTCCTGTTAAGCAAGTATAGTGGTAGCATTTAAACAAATGGAGAAACTCCGCACTGAACAAGAAGAGAAAACACGGGTGAGTAAGCTGGTTACATTACTATATGTTACATTCTAAATTTAGATCATTTGCATTCATTTACACACACTGTCTGGAATTACTTTTCTGATAAGCCTTATTGCCAGCTTTGACTTCTCTTGCTTCGTGGATTTTCAGCTTGGCATTACAATAATGGTGTATGAGTAATTAAGTTTTTTACAGCATTTTTATTTTTGTGCAACTCATATTTACACAATTAATGGAGTTCTTTACATGTTTTTTTTAATTAAACAGTGTTACTGTGTGTCTTAATTCACACACAAAGTGTTGTTATCTGGACTTGCTAGATGTTTCTTTTCATTGTCTGATGATTTGTCCAGTATCATGTTCAAGTCTGACTCCTACAGATTGTTCACGAGAAGATCGAGCTCTTTCAGTTTTGATGGATTTGATTTCAGAGCTTCAGTCAGCGCCCTCAGTTCTTCGTGAGTTACATTACAGTTGGACAACCTAAAGGAAACAAGTAAACACTTGTTATACTCTTATTTAAACAGTTAATCTGATCAGTGAATCCAGATCTTTACCTCAGCTTCTGTAGTTTACAGTGAGGATTCTGCAGTCCCACACAGAGCTTCCTCATGCCTGAGTCTTGTAGATCATTAATACTCAGATCCAGATTTGTCAGATTGGTTTTTGAGCTGAGGGCTGAAGCCAGAGCAGCACAACTTTCCTCTGTCAATCCACATTTGGCCAATCTGAGGAAAAAATGAAACATAATTTATACTCATTCATCCTACCCCTGTAAACCTATAAATGAAGCAATTAAAGAAGCATTACTTATTATTAACTTCAATTAATTATTTTAAGAATTGAGTTTATGTACTTGTGATATCACTTACATCATTGTTTCTAGTGCACAGTGAACGTTCTCCAGAGCAGCACAAAGGTGTTTCACACCAGAGTTTCCAATGGCGTTACAGCTCAGGTCCAGCACTTTCAGATAGGTACCATTTAAAATCAGAGCTTTGCTCAGAAAAACACAACCCTCTTCTGTTACTCCACAGTTGGTCAGGCTACAGATAAGACAAAATACATATGTAGTCACAGTATAGAAATATGTGAGTTGTTTTCAAAAGTTTGTTAAATGTATTCCTACTTCAGAGACTCCAATCTACACTCTGTGTCCTGTAATCCAGCAGTGCGACATACATAATCTTCAAAGCTTGTGTTCTGCTTAAGCAATAAGGCTAGATCAATGTTCTTCTTTTCAAACCCTTCTTTTAGCCTAAAGAAAGATAGAATTTTTTTATTTAATATTCTTATGCATAAACTCATTTTTCACTATACTGCTCTTATATTAAGCTTTATATCATAGCACATACAGTTGTTTTGCGTTGGCCGATTTCTTCAGGCCGATACAGAGTATTTCTACTCCTGAGTCCTGCAGGTTGTTGTTGCTCAGGTCCAGCTCTCTCACATTGGATTCGGATGAAAGAACCATAGACAATATTGCACAGCCTTTATATGTGATATTACAGTCATTCAACCTGCCAATGATAAGAAATAGACATGACTTATTTAGCTGTTTTTGTGGCTCGTAGACTGTGAATAGCATTTACTTTTTTACATTGTTTATGTAGTGGGATAATGTCTGCCCTATTGTAAGTTTAAAATAAATAAATAAATAAATAAATAAATAAATAAATATATATATATATATACAGAGCCTTACAACTGACAACTGAGGCCTGTTGCACAAAACGAGTTGAAGAAACAGAGTTGCAAAGTAAGACAAAATCAATCATTTAAGATGTGGCTAAGTCAAGGGTGTCCAAACTCTGTCCTGGAGGGCTAGTGTCCTGCTGAGTTTAGCTCCAACTTGCTTCAACACACCTGCCAGGAAGTTTTTATTATATCTAGTAAGAGATTGATTAGCTGGTTCAGGTGTGTTTGATTAGGGTTGGAGCTAAACTCTCCAGATCATCGGCCTTCCAGGACCGAGTGTGGGCACCGCTGGGTTGTTTCACAATGCTTGATTTAAATGTTCTTTGTTGACTCTGGATCATATGGACCACAAATTATAACTTACCAGGCTAAAAACCCAAACCAGCTTTGTGCAACAGGCCTAGAAATGCAAGTCAACCATATTATTTATAAAGTATTATACTTTTTGTACAAAAGGTAAAATATTTGAGCTGTGGTGCATGAATTAGTGGAAAAGTATTACTGTAGTGTAAATATGTATAACATTGATTTTGAATTATAAATATTCTCACAAAATCCTTTTTGAAAGCTTGATCACAGGCAGAAGCCAGAGCAAGGCAACGTCCAGTCGTCCATATTTTTGAAGTTGAAACTCCTCAAACTTCTCATTTGATGTCATTAAAATGTAAACCAGAGCCAACCAGTTGTGTGGGGACAAAGTGTCTGTTTTTATTTCTCCAGCGTTCAGGTAGTTTTGTATTTCAGTAATGAGAGAATGATCGTTGAGTTCATTCAGACAGTGGAAAACAACAAGAGCCCTTTCTGAACAAGGGATTGATTTGAGTTTTTCCTTAAGATAGTCGGTAGTTTGTTCTATTTTCAGTGAGCTGCCTGGCTTCTTCCCCAAAAGATCTTTTAGGAGGCTGTGATTTGACTGCAGTGAAAGTCCGATGAGGAAACGAAGGAAAAGATCAAAACGTCCATTTGAAATTTGTACAGTTTTATCAACTGCACATTTGTGTAAGCTCAACATTGTTCCTGGCTTTCTGTATTCCTGTGCTTCAAGCACATTTTCACCATTGTTGTGGAAGGAGAGGTGCACATATAGAGCCGCTAGATGTTCCTGAATGCTCAGATGAACAAAGCTGAAGACTTTTTCCTGATACAAGCCAAACTCCTCTCTGAAGATCTGAGTGCACAATCCTGAGTAAACTGAAGCTTCTGCCACATCAATGCCACACTCTCTCAGGTCTTCCTCATAGAAGATTATATTGCCTCTTTCCAGTTGCTCATACGCCAGTTTCCCCAGCTTGAAGATAATGTCTTTGTCTTTTTTTTCAGTATACTTCATGTCTTTAATGTTGATCTGGGCCATCAGGAAGTGTGTGTACATCTGAGTGAGAGTCTTGGGAATCTCTGCAGTCTCTGCTTCACTCAACATCTTCTCCAGAACAGTGGCTGAGATCCAGCAGAACACTGGGATGTGGCACATGATGTAGAGGCTCCTGGAGGACTTCAGGTGTGAGATGATTGTATTGGCCAGACTCTGATCACTGATTCTCTTGCTGAAGTATTCCTCCTTCTGAGGGTCATTGAAGCCTCGTACCTCTGTCACTCGATGGACACACTCAGAGGGGACGAGATCTGCTGCTGCTGGTCTGGAGGTGATCCAGATGAGGGCAGAGGGAAGCAGATTCCCCACAATCAGGTTCGTCAGCAGCACATCCACTGATGTCTCTTTGTTTGCATCCCTCAGAGTCTCGTTCCTTCTGAAATTTAAGGGAAGCCGACATTCATCCAAACCATCAAGAATGAACATCACTCTATATTTGTCACTGGATATTTCCATTTCTTTAGTTTGAGGGAAAAAGAGCTGAAGAAGATCTAACAGACTGAGTGTTTTGTCCTTCATCAGATTGATCTCTCTGAAAGGAAGTGGAAAGATGAGCTGGACGTCCTGATTCTCCTTCTCTTCAGCCCAGTCCAGGATGAACTTCTGCACAGAGACTGTTTTTCCGATGCCAGCGACTCCCTTCGTCAGCACAGTTCTGATGGCTTTGTCTTGTCCAGGTAAAGGTGTAAAGATGTCTCTGCATTTTATAGGTATTGTTGCTGTTGCTGCAGTCTTCAGAGATTTTTCTATCCTTTTATATTCATGTTCATTTCTGATCTCTCCATTCCCACCCTCTGTGATGTAGAGATCTATGTAAATCTCATTGAGGAGTGTTGGGTTTCTCTGCTTTGCAAATCCTTCAAAAATGTACTGATGTTTCTGTTTTATGTTTGATTTGAATCTTTGGATTTTTTGTCTATGGGTTTCGGAATCCTGTCTGTTGAAAATATATTCGTCAATAACAGTCAATATTCACAAATACATAAATCACATTGGTCTGTTAACATACTGATGGATGAATCTTCCAGGAAGGCTGTCAGCCGTCAGAATATCCTGATAATATTTTGTTCGTGAATACCTTACAGACAAAATAAGATTTTGAAGTCAGCATCAAAACATCAGTGACTCTACATACATAATCTTGTCTTACTCATTCTTTTGCTTTTCTGCAACCAAGCAGGTAAAGTAACCTAAGCCTGCTAAAATAGCCCACAGCACACTAGCTACACCAAAACCGCATTAATTTTTTGTCTAGTCATAATGTAAATCTGTGCTATTGATTTGGACTTCTTTGCAGCTTTCACTGTCATTTATTATGTCTATTCTTTTCCCTCAGATTTCATAAATTATTAGTTTAGATGAACAAACAGCAGAAGACATCTTGTCATTGGTCAATGTAGGGGGTCAGGGATGCTCTGCTGTCCACTGCTGAAACTGCATTTGATAAGAGTTCACATCTCATCATTTGCACTCATCCTTTTTCACTCAAATTTACGAGGTGAGTCTCCGAACCACTTTCAGATTTAGGAAACACTTAAATCTGCTAACAGTTGAACTGGTGTCCATTGAAACCATACCTCTAGAGTGCTGGATTTGTTTCACCTCTTGATTGAATTGGGATTTGTGTTGCACTCATTGTGTCATTGGGTAAATGTGTTTTCTCCAAAGAACTAAAGTCAACGCACAGACACAAAGTCACTTAGATTTCTTGGTCACACTTCACAATAAGGTTCATTAGTTAATGTTAATTAATGCATTTACTAACATGAACAAACAATGAACAATACATTTACTACTGTATTTGTTTATGTTAGTTAACGTTAGTTAATGAAAATACAGTAGTTCATTGTTCATGTTAACTCATGGTGCATTAACTAATGTTAACAAGCATGGACTTGGATGTTAATAATGCATAAGTAAATGTTCAATTATGATTAATAAATGCTGTACACGTGTTGTTCATGATTAGTTCATGTTAGTAAATGCATTAACTAATGAACCTTATTGTAAAGTGTTACCGATTTCTTCAACTTTAATTAAATGGATTTATGTACACTGTAATTTTGACAGTGGGTTTTAGTAATATGCAGTGTTCAGTCTGGATTACAATTTATGTTACATAATGTATTAAGATAAAAGGAATATGAGAAACTATTTTATAGCTCAATATTGGTAGCAACTATACTCTCATTCTGTAATAGTCAGGAAACTACTGCTGTAGCCACCTTTACCTAAACGCAAGAAATCGGTTGAATGGATTAAAAAAATCATTTAAGTCAACTCCTTAACTTAAAAAAAATTAAGTGTTCCTTTAAATAGATCATGCCACATTGTTTATTTAATGTCATATGAAACTTTTAAAACTTATATTTACCTTTGATTCTCTGTAGCATCTCCTATTTTTAACTCAATTGGTATTTTCATTGATTTGTCACTTTTCAGGGACACAGCACTGGGATCAGGTGAATTGTATCTTTCTCTAAAACTGCAAAAGACAACAAAGTCTCAACATTTTGTAACAACAAATTCATTTTGGGGGGGAAAGTTTGCAGCAGGCCCATGCAGAGACCTTCCAGGGGGCATGTGCAGGGTCAGGGGCTGGAGCTCCGATCGCGAACTGAAGAGCGTATTGGGTAGATGGATGTGATCGCGAACTGAAGGCCAGGGGGTAGGGTTGGGGGCGATCGTGAAACTGAAGAGCGGGGGCACTTACTTTTATTTTTACAAAAGTTAAGCACTATGTGTTCGCGTGCCTGGTTTGCAATCATGCCCTACTGAGCCAAATTTCTCTTGAGTTTTTTTTTTTTTTTTTTTTTTTCACTTTTGTCAATTGGTGAAGTTTGTTCCTCGCCACTGGCTTGCATGGTTCGGGACTTGTGGGGCTGCGCATTGATGGATTTGCTCTTTAGTGTTTGGACTCTTAGCAGTGAAAACTCTGAAAACTGGACTGACACAGTATCAATTTACTATGATATTCTTTGTGAAGCTGCTTTGACACAATCTACATTGTAAAAGTGCTAAAGGAATAAAAATTTTAATTATGTACAAATCACATACTGTGAGATACTATAGTAAAAGGGTTTGACGTTGTGTCTGAATAACTTCCATATACAGTTGAAGTCAAAATTATTAGCCCCCCTGAATTATTACCCCCCCCACCCCCGTTTATTTTTTCCCCAATTCCTGTTTAACAGAGGGAAGATTTTTCTAAGCATAATAGTTTTAATAACTTATTTTTAATAACTGATTTATTTTATCTTTGTCATAATGACAGTAAATAATATTTTACTACATATTTTTAAACACACTATTATACAGCTTAAAGTGACATTTAAAGACTTAACTAGGTTAAACTAGGTTAGGGTGATTAGGCAAGTTATTGTGTAACGATGATTTGTTCTAGACTATCGAGAAAAAATATATATAGAGCTTAAGGGGGCTAATAATTTTGTCCTTAAAATGGCTTTTAAAAAATTAAAAACTGCTTTTGTTGGTTGAAAGAAAACAAATAAGACTTTCCTCAGAAGAAAAAATATTATCAGGCATACTGTAAAAATGTCCTTGCTCTGGTAAACATCATTTGGGAAATATAAAATAAAAAGAAAAATTCAAAGAGGGCTAATAATTCTGACCACGACTGTATATATTTTACATTATTTTGATCACAAAAAATTACTTGGGTTTAAGGTTGAGTGTTAATCAGAGTTCTGCATAGGTGAAGAATATTTAAATGTACTGAGATCATATTTTATTAGAGATGTGAGATTCAGATTCTGTGAGTTTTAGTGTGTACACTTTTGAACAAAAATTTGTGCCAAAGCAAATAGTTATATTGGTGTTAAAATAGTACTGTCAGGATTTACTAAACACACACAGTGAAGAATCAGCACTATTTTTACACCCGATTTTTATTGTTCATGTTGTGTTGCATTTCCCCTGTCAGATGCTAATTTTATTGGAGGAGAGTGTTTAAATGAATAACGCAAAACAATTTATTAATGTCACACAAAGTTGTAAAATAATTTACACATACCTTTGATCTCCTGGATTATGTCCATTTTGTAACTCGATTGGTGTTTTCATTGATTTGTCACTTTTCAGGGACACAGCACTGGGATCAGGTGAATGGTGTCTTTGCCAAAAGCAGCAACAAAACAAAATCAATTGTTGAGGAAAAAATAACTTTAGCTTTCACTGTTTTCTGGCTACCACATTGTCAAAACCATCACAGCCATGGATTTTTAACTGACAGAATTTTTAACCAACCTTACATATTTATACCATAAAGTTTTTACTTCTCTTTGCAAAACTTTTTTTTTTTTGTCTCACAGTAACAACTAGCAACAAAAAAATTCTGTCTTTACCTTTGATACCCTGGAGGATCTCTATATTTTATCTCAATTGGTGTTTTCATTGATTTGTCACTTTTCAGAGACAAAACACTGGGTTCAGGTGAATTATTTCTCCGTCGAAAACTTCAAAAGACAACAAAATCCATCTCAATATTGGGTAACAATTAGAGCTTGACATTAACACCCGCCAGCCTGCCAAATGCGGGTAGATTTCAGCTGTGATTGGTTAGACAGACTAACCCCCACTAACCACTTTGGCTGGTTGAAAATAAATTTTAAATTGCCAGAGCTGCCTCTTCCTAAAGATGAGGTGAATACTGAATGAGAGGATGATCAGGCCCACGGTGAGACATCGGTAGGCCCACACGGAATGTGTGCGCAGAATTCCGCAGATTTTTGCCCATCAATAATTCTGTTTATTTACTTAAGTAAATGTGTGTAAGTATATATTTATTCAGCTTTTTTAAAAATTACAGTAATATTATTGACTAATGTAAAAATGTTAATCTGATTTATGTATAATGCGGATTGTAAAGTAATATTTTCTGTCTTTTATTAGATATATGAGAGACTTGATTTGTTCACCAAATAAAGTGAATCTATTTAGACATTAGCCCCTTTCACACAGTGATACCGGTAAATATCTGGAAAATTTCTGGAACGACTTTACCCGTAAATTCAAAAAAGCTCTGTTCACACAGGCGAGGACGTTACGGAAATTTTTTTTCCGGAAAAGAGCATTCACACATCCATCCCAAAATGCTGGTAAATTCTGACATCATTAACCAGAAATGACCTCTAAACGGCTGCACTTGTATTTGTAAACATTTGACTACAGTACAAACTCTGTGGATGTATCAGTATTGTGAACAACTTCGATGAAAGCAGAGAAACACTTTCGCATGTCGAGATGTACATAATATGTGTTGTGTTGTTTCACGGGCACACGCAAAGCTTAAAGGTAAACAAACTATGGCTTATCATAAGCATATTATCGATAATTATTTGCACAGTTGGCATTAAGATCAACATATAAATGTTATTTGACTAACTTCTAGCAGCTAAATGTGACTGGGAAAATATTCAAAGGCTTTTATTTTCATAAACCACGCGGACGTGAATGCGTCTGTTCTGATTGGCTAAAGTGACATCTTACGCCAGTGCGTTCTAGACGTGCACGTTCTCTTTCTGCAATGTTTCTTCTGCGTTCACACAGCGGTAACACACCGGTAATGTTACAGCTTCTCTTTCCGGAAAATAGGCGGAACAAATTTACCGATATTTTAAAAAAGAGCCTGTTCACACATACACACCTTTCCAAAATACCGGTAAATTCTTACATCAAAAACCAGAAATGACCTCTAAACGGCTGCGCTTGTGTTTGTAAGCATTTGACTACATTACAAACTCTGTGGATGGAACAGTGTTGTGAAAAACTTCGATAAAAACAGAGACACACTTTCGCATGTCAAGATTTTCATGATGTGTGTGTGTGTGTGTGTGTGTGTGTGTGTGCTGGCTCTCACCAGCTGCTTCACAGGCACATGCAATGCAGAGCTTGAAGGTAACCAAACAACGGCTTATCATAAGCATATTATCCATAATTAATTACACAGTTGGCATTAAGAAGAAACATATAAATGTTATCTGACTAACATCTAGCAGCTAAAGGTGTCTGGAAAAATATTCAAAAGCTTTTATTTGCATAAATTGCGCGGACGTGAATGCGTCTGACAGTTCTGATTGGCTAAAGTAGACATTTCACGTCAGCACGTTCTAGACATGCATGCGCTCTTTCCGGCAATCTTCCTTCTGCATTCACACAGCGCAGCATTCCAGCAAATTACTGGTAATGTTACAACTTCTCTTTTCGGAGAATAGGCGTAGGTAATTTTCCGGAAAGGTCTGTATGTGTGAAAGGGGCTATTGTGAGCAAGACACAGCTGATGTGAAGCATGCAAGTTTTTAAAAGCGCCCGTTTCCTTGCGCAACTGGTGCGATCGTTTCTCTTTGAAATAGTTTGAAAAAAAGCGATGCTTGTACGCCCACTGTCATGCTGCTTTCAAGAGATTTCCAGATTTCTTTGTATGCAGCAGCTGTTGCCAGTTTTGCTTTAAGGATTCTTTGAACAGATTATTAACACGTGTGCGTTAACCGTGTGCACGTGATCGTCGTTTCACTATCGCAAACAGTATTTCACCTGCTTTCTTTTGCTTGCAATTATTTTTGTTAATATGGTGTAATTGTCATCCTTTACAATAACATTGCTTTAGGAGATCAACTCTCCATTTATCTATAGTTACCTAATGATCTGGTACCTCTAGCCAGGACAGACTGCTGTGTATAGTTTTAGATAAATGAGAATATTTTTTTTGAATGTCAGTTGTTTTTTAAGAACATTTTTGTTGAATAAAAAGTGTATGTATACAGCTATATTTAGCTTTTTTGACACACAAAAAAAAATTTGGCAAGGAAATAATTAGTTTAGTGGCCAGAGAACAAAAGGGTGAATCCTTATTGTTGAGCAATAAAATGTCATAAGCAAAAAAAAAAGTTAAGGAAACATGTGGACATGACACAATTTAAATCAAGTAATTTTAGCATGCCAATGTCAAAATTTTCCCAACAAGAAAATTGTGGCTAGTGAAAATGGCGAGTGGCTAGTTACATTGGAAAACTACTAGCCACAGTGGCTGGTGATCAAAAAAGTTATTGTCAAGTCCTGCTAACATTGATTGCATTCTTACAAATAAAGTTTGTAGTCATCAAGAATTGGGAACAACAAATGTTTTAGCTGCCTTACAGTTGATGCAAAACCATTCAATGGATGTTACACTGCATTAAACTTAAATAGGAGTATTAATAATAATAATGTAGGAAAACAGTAATATTTACCTTTGATCTGGAACATGTCCATTTGGTAACTCAATAGGCGTTTTCATCGATTTGTCACTTTTTATGGACACAACACTGGGAACAAATGAGCCTGATTTTGTCTGAGCTCTGAAAGAGCAACACAATCTTTAACTTTAGAGAAGAAAATTATGTTGCAGCAAATTTAATTGTTGCTTTTAGTAATGTTTAGTTAAAAAGAAATCTCTCTCTCTCTCTCTCTCTCTCTCTCTCTCTCTCTCTCCCTATGTGTGTATATATAATCAGTATGTGTATATATATATATAATCAGAACCAACAGTTAATCTAAGCCACATGAAAACGTAGAGGTAAATAGATAACTGAAAATCTTTATTTTTTTAACTGAATAGGTGTTTTCAATTACTTATCTGATCTTCAAGGATAAAAAACTGAGCACAGGTGAATTTGATCTCAACAGCTAAATGCTGTTAGATACACTTCACTAAACATCATATTCACTCTAATATTTTTAGAAGGTTAGGGTTTTTTGCAATATAAAAATAGAATTCAAAATGTAAATAGCTATTCTAGGTTGGTAAGCAGTATAATTTATACTAACTTTATACTTTTGGTTTCACTTGAATTTAAGTTCACGCAAATATATATATTTGAAATCTTACCTTCTTTCTTCATTGTCGTCTCCAGCTTTCATTATGATGTTTGCTAGATAGTTTTTTTAAAAATTCATAACTAAAGACTGCGAGAACTTTCGCAAAAGATTTTAAAAAGCAAATGACGAGGAGTGAGGGAGGATAACAAAAGCATACAAGACTGAAACTTGTTTAACTAGTTCATAGGTATTTCCTGGTTAGTTGCACAGTTCACTTATTGTGAGGTTGTGTAAGGACTTGTTTTTAAAAGTGTCTGAATAGACGTATTCATATGTTTTGATCAAAAAAGTACCTAGTTTACTCATAAAAGTAAAAGTGGAGGATGAGAAAAGGCACACATGTATTTTATGTTTTATAACAAATTCACAGATCACAGATTTACAGATTACCTGAAACAATCTAAACAGTTGCAAAGTTATTAATTATATATGTTAAGAAGATATTGTGCCCTATCATACACCGGGCGCAATAAGGCACAAGAAGTGTTTCTATGATGTCTTGCTATTTTCAGATCATAATTTTCTCATTTTCTGTCACGCTGTTTAAATAGCAAATCCATTTGCGCCACTTTGTAGACTGATGGGTGTTTCGGTCTAGATAAGAGGTGTGTTAAGGCGCATTGTTGGTTTTGCGCCCTGTGCTTTGGACCTTGTGACTAGGGGCTCTATTTTAACAATCTAGGCGTAAAGCGCAGGGTTTAAAAACATTAAGGGCCTGTCAGAATCCACTTTAAGGGACGGAAAAATCTGCTCTCCACTGCAACACATGCTCTAACTGGGTTGAGCTTATTCTCTTAATGAGTTATGGGTGTGTTTTGGGAATAAACCAATCAGAGTCTCATCTCCCATTCCCTTAAAAAGTTGCATCGCGCCATAGCGCATTTGCTTTTTACATGGCGGACTTTGTAAGTGGAAAAACTAAAAGCTTTGATTTGTTTTAAAACTATTTCTAAATTCAGTTCTAATTTCCAGCAAAGGAATAAATGAACAATAATAACAAAAAGTTATATCCAAATGCACCTGTTCGGCCCCATATGGTTTAAAACCTGACAGGTGGAAAAATCTAAGCTTGTTTTTAATAAAACAAATATAAATATGGATATAATAGATAATACTGCTAATAATAATAACATTATACAAAAGCAAATTGTCATGAATAAACAGGAAAAGCCTCTTCAAATAAAAGCATGGAGATATCGGTTTTATATTTGTGTAAAAAGTAATAATTATTGTAATATTTTCTTCCCTTAATTCTTTTTCATTTGTAAAGATATTTGTGTATTGCTGTACATCCTGCTAGTATTAAGCAATGTGTAAGTGAGACGCACAACTAACGCGCTCTGCGCTAGACTTTAGACCTCCTCTTAGCTGGTCTATTGAACAGTCTGTTTAGTTCCTCAAAATAGCAACGCGCCAGCAATGTGCCTTAACATACCTCTTTTTTTTTTAGACCAGAACATGGGCGCACATATGATATATTGTGACGGGTACCAGGAATGAATAAACTACAGCTGATCAAATCATTATTAAACTGGTAAGTGATATTTGAAGTCGATCTCTCTCTTTTGTATAGATTGCAACTATGCATTTTATTTATAAGGACAGTGCCTATTTTAATACAGTTACTTTCCTTTCCGGGTTCTCTACAGTGTTATTCAGAGACCTTACCCCCAAACACCCCCTCCTTATCGCAAACACAACAGCAGTCTGGGAGTGATTGCATTGCTTTTTTTTTAGGTTAGTTATTGTGATATTTTAATGGTCGCTTAATGTTTGATATGAGTTGTATATACATGTAATGTTCCCTTTAAGAGGACTTCTTCTGTGGTTGTTTGTTTACCTTTGAGATGTAAGCACGCATGCATGGAAGCTCAGTTCAGTTCAGCGAGCTCTGGGGAGAAGTGTGATGGTTGCTCTACCGCTGTATCATTCTTTTTTTTTTCAATGATGTAACTTTTATTTTGCGACGGATGTTTGAGTGTTTTTTCTTTTCTCTTTTCCTACTCATTGTCGTTGACTGGCATGTATGTAGTTATCAGCACTTGGGAGTAACGCATAAAGGCCAATAAGAAGAGAGGAAGTTTCTGTTTCTTTTTTTTTCATTCCTGTTATCTTTCACAATATACCGATTGCAACAGAGAAATACTAGATTAAAGACCTATCTTTTTAAAGCATACACTCAGTGCATCACTCAGCGGTATGATAGATGAATGTGCCCAATGCATGTTTTTGCATCTTGTTTATATACACTATGAACAGAAGCTACGCTAATTATTCTCTTTATTCTCTTTTTCCACCTGGGAATACTCATCCCGAGGCCCTCAGACTATGCAGCGCCACTGATCAAAAATCAGCGATGAGACAATCCCAAGGTTTCCATAATCCTGGACCAGGCCGTATCCTTTGACACAATCTACATTGTAAAAACACTATGCAAATAAAGGTGAATTGAATTGAATACTGTAGACCGAAATTGACTGTAGAGAGATATCTCTGTAGACTGATGGCATTTCATGTCATGTTCAGCCTTATAATCTTAAAATGTGAGCAAAATCAGCTGTTTTGTCATCACTTAAGACATTACTAGCTCTAGAGTGACGTTGGTGAATTAGTAACGGCTTCTGCTGTGTTGACGTCAGCTGCAGATGTGAATGAATGGCAGAAGAAAGTTGTTCCTCCTACAAAGAGTTTTTAGACTCTCCGTGTTTTTTTTATATACACGATTGTGCCGTCAAACTGTTGTATAAATGCAATATCACACTCGTAACTAGTGGGACGCTAAGGCGCTCAGCCTATGGCCTCGTGTCAATGCTAGCCTCCCACCAGTGCTGATATACAGCCATATTGCGCTGCTACTTGTGTGATATTGCTCATATATATATATATATATATATATATATATATATATATATATATATATATATATATATATATATATATATTGTTTTGCTGTATTGTAGTTACGCAACACTTGGACTTACACCACAGTTTTATTTAAATATGAAAAGTAAAATAGCATGTACTAAAACATTCTTATTATTCAGAAAAGGCTGATAATACAGATTTTTTTCATTATTGTTTTCACAGCAGGTAAGAAAACGACAGATTGATGTCTCCTATTGTCCTATGTAAGTAATGTGCCATACTAGCATATAAACAAATGGAGAAACTCAGGACAACAACAGGAGCAAACACAGATGAGGGATCTGGCTTTGTTCTTTACCATATAGTACAGTCTAGTTTTGAATAAATAGTATTTATTTGCTTAAACTTTCTGGAATTATTTTCCTGATAAGCCTCATTGCCAGCTTTGACTTCTCTTGCTTTTTGGATTTTCAGTTTGGCATTACAGTCATGGTGTAATAATAATAATACATTTTGTTTATATAGCGCCTTTCCAGACCTCAAGGACACTTTACAAAGAATGCGACAAAAGGAGATAGTACAAGCAGATAAATGTAGAGACCGCATTAGATACACAAACATACAAGAAGTCAAATATAACAAACAGGAAATACAAAAACAAGACCTAAGGGACAAATGAGCAGTGCAGGTGGATCAGATAAAGTAGTCAGTTTGTCAGGTCAAAACTGAAGCGTTCAGAAAATAAATGAGTTTTAAGTAAAAATTTAAAATCTGAGATATTATTAGCAGAACGGAGTGAACATGGTAGAGAATTTTCAGAGTTTGGGTGCAATAACAGTAAATGATCTGCCCCCCCATTGAAGAGAGGCCGTACCTTGTATGATACTTTCATTTTTCACACTGATTGTGCAGCTTATGTTTATATTTTTTGTGAAGTTCTTTAAATGTATTTCATTAAACGGTGTTACTGTGTGTCTTTATACACACATAAAGTGTCAATTTTTCTTTTCATTCTCTGATTATTTGTCTATTATCATGGAAATCATGTTCAAGTCTGACTCTTCCAGATTGTTCTCAGGAAGATTGAGCTCTTTCAGTTGTGATAGACTTGATTTCAGAGCTTCAGTCAAGGCTGTCACTCCTTCATGAGTTACTTTACAGTTGGCCAACCTGAAGAAAACAAGTCAAAGCAGGTCAGTGGAGTCTTATTTAAGCTCTTTATTTCAATGTGATTTGAATGAATCTGCTGAGACATTTTCAGATCTTTACCTCAGCTTCTGTAGTTTACAGTGAGGATTCTGCAGTCCCACACACAGCTTCTTCACTCCTGAGTCTTGTAGATCATTAACACTCATATCCAGATCTGTCAGACTGGAGGACTTTGAGCTGAGCGCTGAAGCCAGAGCAGCACAACTTTCCTCTGTCAATCCACATTTGGCCAATCTGAGAGTAAAACCATTTACGATGTCAATCCTTTTCAATATAATCGCATGTTTTATTTTGATTGCTATTTGCTTGATAACCTAAATCTTAAAGTTTAATTTTTATTATGACTTACGCCAGTGTTTCTAGTGCACAATCAACTTTCTCCAAAGCAGCACAAAGGTGTTTCACTCCTGGGTCTCCAATGGTGTTCCAGCTCAGGTCCAGCACTTTCAGATGGGAAGGGTTTAAACTCAGAACTTTGCCCAGGTGGTCACTACCTGCTTCTGTTATTCCACAAACCCTCAGACTGCAGAGACATACATTGGACATTAAAATGGATATACATTTGTAAAGTAATCCCCCACTGTACAAAAATGACTAAGGAGTCATTTTTAAAATATATTATCAAGGAACAAAATGACTTTATGCAAAAGGAAACTTGCACTCAGATTTGTATAAATTTGCTCAGGATCAGAGGCAATAATGTTGTAAATAATGTTCAGTGCAGTGATGAACTAGAGCAAAATCAGTTGTATTAACTTAAGTCATGGTCACACTCGAGTTTGAGCTGGCAGAATTCTGTTGTATGGCACTGTGAAAAGTAATGGGATTAAACAAGATGATTAGACTTTAAGTGGCACGTTCGTGCAGTGGGTAAGGCTGTCGCCTCACAGCAAAAAGGTTGCTAGTTCGAGCCTCAGCTGTGTCAGTTGGCATTTCTGGGTGAAGTTCTCCCTGTGATGGCGTGGGTTTCCTCCAGGTGCTCTGGTTATAGGTGACCTGGGTAAGCTAAATTGTCCGTAGTGTGTGAATGAGGGTGTATGGGTGTTTCCCAGTGATGGGAGGCGGCTGAAATAGCATCTGCTGCGTAAAACATATGCTGGATAAGTTTGTGGTTTTATTTAGCTGTGGCCACCCCATGATTAATAAAGGGACTAAGCTAAAAAGAAAATGAATGAATGATTACACTTTAAAGAAAGCAAGCGATTGCTCCATATTTGAAATGTCTGTACAGATAGGTCATGTTTTGATCTTCTATTGGTCTTACTCAATGACGTGATGCAATTTTGCATGTGAGAATTCACCAAGCTTGAATTTTGCTATGCAGCGACATGCAAAACTTTTTGCATGAGCTTGCATTTCCGGTCTACTGCATTCGCATGCATCTGAATGAAAGTCTATGGGATGAAAAGTGTAGTGTGACCTTGGCCTTAAGGCCCGTGCACACCGAGACGTTTTTTGCTCGCGTATTACATCGACGTTTAACGCCTCGTGACTAAACAAAAGGGCATCAATGTGATTGTGCACACCCACACACAAAACGCCAGGCGCAAAGGCGTCATTAAAAAAAAAAAATGCCTCATGCACCGCATGAAAACCTTTGTTCACGTGCAAGGAGCGGCTGGAGTTACAGTAAACAGCACTTGGAGGCACTCAAGCGCAAAACTGTGACCGCACATTGAAGAAGATGCCAAGAGGCGATATGAGTGTGGAGCTGCTTATTGCTCTGCTGAACAATAATCATTTCTTCATCGCTAAACCTGGAGCTGCTGCTTGAACCATCCATGCTTGTTCGAGTCACCAGTAACTTTAACAACAAGCATGTGTACTTCCTCTCCTCCAACTGTTCTGTGTTATAAGTGGGTGTCAGAAGCTTAAAGTTGTGTATCGCCATCTAACGTCAAGGAGTGATTTTGTCTTTTGCTTGACGCCAGTGAAAATTGCTTGGGTTTGAATACGGAAATACATCTTGTAAAATGCTGACGATAAACGCAAGCGAAAATCGTCTCGGTGTGTAGGAGCCTTTAGCCTCTATATTGTAAAATTTGCTGTCAAAGTTCAGGCCTGTGCACACCGAGAAGTTTTTTGCTCGCGTTTTCTGTCGACGTTTAACGCCTCGTGACTAAATAAAGGGCGTCAATGTGATCGTGCACACCAACGTGCAAAACGGCAGGTGCAAAAGCGTCATTTTAAAAAATAAATGCCTCATGCTTGTTTTTTTTTTGACGCACCGCGTCTAAACCTCCACCAATCAGATCGCCACTTTTGTTCATGTGCACGGAGCGGCTAAAGTTACAGTAAACAGCCCTTGGAGGCGCTCAAGCGCAAAACTGTCAATCCGACCGCACATTGAAGAAGATGCCCAGAGGCGATATGAGCGTGGAGCTGCTTCTTGCTCTTATGAACAATAATAAATTTTTCATCGCTAGACCTGGAGGTGCTGGTTGAACCATCCATGCTTGTTCGAGTCACCAGTAACTTTAACAACAAGCGTGTGAACTTCCTCTCCTCCTCTTCTTCTGTGTTATAAGCGGGTGTCAGAAGCTTAAAGTTGTGTAGCGCCATCTAACGTCAAGGAGCGACTTTGCATAATCTTCTGCTTGACGCCAGTGAAAATCGCTTGGGTTTAAATACGGAAAAACGTCTCATAAAACACTGACAAAAAATGCAAACGAAAAGCGTCCCGGTGTGTAGGATCCTTTACATTGTTACTGTCAAGTTTGGTTGCCAGTAATACTGTAAAATTTACAAGTGCACTGTAAATCAACAATTGCAATTGTGCTATAGTTTTACAGCTTAATTGTAATTGTTAGTTTACAGTGCACTTACCAAAATTGCCAGTAATACTGTTAATTTTACAGCATATTTTCAGTGCATGTTAAAGGGGAAGTTTACCCAAAAATTAAGAATCTGTCTTCATTTACTCAATCTTGACTAGTGATGGGTCGTTCTTGAACGATTCGTTTATTTTGATCAAATCTTTTGCATGACTCGAGAACGATGAGTCCTCTTGGAGTGATTTGTTCATTTGCGCACAAGATTAGTTCCTTTTTCAAGTCTTCTATCAGGTTTGAGTCGTTCATTCATCACATGAAAGACAGGAGCCAGTCATATGCTTTTAGAGCCAGAAAAAGATTTGATTCGTTCATTTCGAGTCTTCGGGTTTGAGTCATCTCTCTTTATATGTTGTCACATGATGAACGAACGACTCCAAAACCTTAAGACTTGAGAGGTTAAATAATTATGGCTTCTTTTGGCTTAAACTGTGTGCATTGTTTAAGCTTATATGAGTCTGTGTGACATGAACGAACAACTCAAATTTGAAGACCTGTCAGAAGAGGTGAGCTGACATAATCATAAACCAGGTAAACAACAAATGATTATTTTCTCTTTCTTATAGCATTCTAGTTATGGCTTGTTTGTAGTGTGGTCAACGCCTGGGCTAGTTGCAGATGAGTTTGGAAGCAACTTGTAACGTTTTAATAATATTTTGGCAAATTGAATAAAAGGAACGAAATGACTCGAAAAAAGATTCAAAGGTACGAGTCAGTAAAATGATCCGAACTTCCCATCACTAATACTGACTTGTTTCAAAATATTTGTTAGTTTTTGTCTATCAAATACAAAACAATATCCTTGATGGAAACCTGTAACTATTTGTTTTTCCAACTATAAATATCAATGCTTACAGCTTTCCAATATTCTTCAACACACTTGGGTTGGGAACCGGTTTGGAACAAGTGAAATGTGAGTAAATGATGACAGAGTTTTCATTTTTAGGTGAAATATTCCTCAGAACTGCCATGGCATAAGTATTGTCACGATCACCACACTCCAGGCTTGCTGGTAATCATTCACTTTCACTTACGCTACAATCCTGTTACCATATGGACTACACATCCTGTCATGCACCTCACTCACACCTGTTCCGGTTCCTCTTTGATTACATTCACACTTTGGTAGCTGGTAGCTCATCTTAGACTGATTGCACAGTAAATAAATATCACATTTACACACTCATTGCTGAGTCTTGTTGGTGTTTACCCTGTAGCATTATGAAGCATTTCCCTTGTCTTGTTTTTCCATGCCGTGTTTCCAGACCCTTTTTTATTTATTTATTTATTTATTTTATTTATGTTAGCTGCCTGAACAGATATCTACACCTGTAACTCAACTTCTCTTTTGGATTGCCCTGTTTCATTCTGTTTGCACCTATGATTGACCCTTGTCTGACTGACTATTCTGTCAATAAAGACGCTGAAATTAGATTCATAACCCCTTTGTCAGAACTGTATGTTACAAGTATTACATTCTGTATTATTTATTTGGAAACAGTTTGTGACTTTAATAAAAATTCATACTAAACATCACTAAACACGTGTTATAAGAATTACATAAGTTATAATGATGTGCTACACACAGTTCTTCAAATATAGTAAGGAAGGCTAGACTAGAATATACTGGCCACAGAGCACTTACTTTAGAGATTTTAGGCTGCACTCCCCATCCTGTAGTCCAGCAGTTCTATGATGCAGATGTAAGAGATGTGGGCTGTGTGAGCCACATGTTGGTGCTGAAACTTTGCAGTGCATCTTTCTTTCAGTTTGCTTTATTCTGATATAAGAAAGAATTTAATGTGTGTAAGAATGGTATGTTATGTAAAGTAATTTACAGTACCTCATTATTTACTTTAAATTACATCTGATGCATAAATAGGGAAAAAAACTTAAAGTATTTTCAGAGTCATATTCTGTTATTGGTTGAATTAGTGAAGATTCCCAAGAGACGTGTTGTCATGCCAAGCTCCTCTTGGAAAAAGAAAGCTGCTGATTAAAGCTGTGGCACTTATCTGGATCTACTAAAATTTTTAAATGTATGTGACCAGCATGTGATTCAGCATGTCTTGCAGAACTTACTTCAGAGGTTCCAGTCCATCAGTTTTGTGATGCAAATGAAATGTTTCCTTATTCTCATGTTTATGCAGGCTGTGTGTACCACATGATGGTGCTGGAACTTTGTTGAGCCTTGTTTTTTCTATTTCTTTCAGTCTAATGTAAGAAACAGTTAATTAAATTGTGCAAGCATAATATGATATGCTAAGTACACAGTAATGAAAGCATACAGTGCTGTTCCATGAGCTGATCTATTAACTCCGACACAGAGTATTTCTACTCCTGAGTCCTGCAGGTTGTTGTGGCTTAGGTCCAGCTCTCTCACAATGGATAGTGATGTGAGAAGTGTAGTCAGAAATGTACAGCCTACATCTGTGATGTTACAGTCATTCAACCTAAAATATAAGGAAAATCAATTAAGATGTAGAAAATGTGCATGCATACATTTATTTGGTGAAGTTCATTTATGAACGTCACTGGTTCTAGTACTTAACAAGCCAGCCAACGTTTCTGTGTGGAGTTTACACGTTCTCCTCGTGCTCACATGGGTTTCCCCTGGGTTCCCCGGTTGCCTCCCACCGTCCAAAAACATGCAACTTAAGTTAATTGACTAATCCAAATCAGCACCATAGACATTCTACTAGTAAGTAGTTATCTCTTAAGAGCAATCACTATCTGTTCATTAGCTACTAAAGCAGGGGAGTTCCTGAGATCTACCTGAGCTCAAACTCCCCTCTTGCCTTGCAAACGGGATGAAGCCCCGGGCTCGAGGATCTTATAAGCTCACGGCTCTCTCCCGGGAAAACATGACAAACAAGCTTCATAATCAATCATCAGCTAAGTGTGAACTCTTGTAATAACATTTTAAAAAGTGCTCACCGAGCCTTTGTGTGTAACTTGATCACAGGATGCAGCCATTGTAAGCTCTCATCTGATCTGCCATATTCTTGAAGTCTAAACTCCTCTGACCGCTCATTGGATGTCATTAAAATACAGAACAAAGCCCGCCAGTAATCTGGCGACATGTTTTCTTTTTCACAGGCCTTAATGTCATCATTCATTGAATGATCATTGAGTTCATGTAAACAGTGAAGCAGAAGGAGACAATCATTTGGACAAAACTGCTTTTTGAATTCATCCCTGAGATACTCAACAGTTTTGTTTATTTCCAAGATGCTCTCTGTCTTTTTCACCAAAAGACCTTCTAGAAGTCTGTGATTTGTCTCCAGTGAAAGTCCTATAAGGAAGCGAAAGAAAAGATCGAGATGTCCATTCCTACTCTGTATAGCTTTTTTAAAAGCATATTTGTGTATGCTCAACATTGTCTCCCTGTGTTCATGTGCTTCAAGCACATTTTCACCACTGTTGTGGAAGGAGAGGTGCACATATAGAGCTGCTAGATGTTCCTGAATGCTCAGATGAACAAAGCTGAAGACTTTCCCCAGATACAAGCCAAACTCCTCTCTGAAGATCTGAGTGCACAATCCTGAGTAAACTGAAGCTTCTGCCACATCAATGCCACACTCTCTCAGGTCTTCCTCATAGAAGATTATATTGCCTTTTTCCAGCTGCTCATACGCCAGTTTCCCCAGTTTGAGGATAATCTCTTTATCTTTGTTAATTTCATGATACTTTCTGTCTTTAATGTTGATCTGTGCCATCAGGAAGTGTGTGTACATCTGAGTGAGAGTCTTGGGGATCTCTGCAGTCTCTGCTTCACTCAACATCTTCTCCAGAACAGTGGCTGAGATCCAGCAGAACACTGGGATGTGGCACATGATGTAGAGGCTCCTGGAGGACTTCAGGTGTGAGATGATTGTATTGGCCAGACTCTGATCACTGATTCTCTTGCTGAAGTATTCCTCCTTCTGAGGGTCATTGAAGCCTCGTACCTCTGTCACTCGATGGACACACTCAGAGGGGACGAGATGTGCTGCTGCGGGTCTGGAGGTGATCCAGATGAGAGCAGAGGGAAGCAGATTCCCCACAATCAGGTTCGTCAGCAGCACATCCACTGATGTTTCTTTGGTCACATCCCTCAAGATATCATTGCTGCTAAAGTATAAAGGAAGACGACACTCGTCCAGACCATCAAAGATGAAGATGATAGAAGAGTTTTGAATCAGATGTAAACTTATTTCTTTCATAAAGAAGGTCTGAAGAAGACTAACTAAACTGAACTTTTTGTCCTTCATCAGATTAATCTCTCTGAAAGGAAGTGGAAATATGAGCTGGATGTCCTGATTCTGCTTCTCTTCAGCCCAGTCCAGGATGAACTTCTGCACAGAGACTGTTTTTCCAATGCCAGCGACTCCCTTCGTCAGCACAGTTCTGATGGCTTTGTCTCGTCCAGGTAAAGGTCTAAAGATGTCTCGGCAATTGATTGGTTTTGCTACCACTGCAGCACTCTTCACTGCTCTTTCCATCATAGTGAACTCATGTTTATTTATGATTGCTTCAGTTTCTCCTTCTATGATGTAGAGCTCGGTGTAGATCTCATTTAGATGCTTTCGGTTTCCTTGTATTTCCAGTCCTTCTAAAACATACTGATGCTTAGTTTTCATGTAAGATTTTAGAGCTTGTTGAATCTCTGAAACTTTTGTTTGCTGCCCATGTCTAAAAGAGAAAGAAAAATCATAACCAAAAATTAAAACCAAAATACTTTCAGTATTAGAAAAATTATGTTTGTGTTCAGTCAAATGCAAACTTGAAACTTTAATTATATTTGCGCAATATAAAGGGATTTCATTTCAAATTATGAAGGCAGACTCTGTATTATTTCCCAGTAAATTTGTTTCATCAAGTTTTTCTGATTACACTAACAATTATAAAGGCGATGAATGCCACAGACAAGATATAAAACAGACTAAATTTATATCTGTTCACAAAACTATTAAAATACATGTGTTGTAGTTTTTACTAGCATTTAAGAAATGTCATTTCTCCATTTCCAACAAAGATCAATTGAGAGAAGCTTGTCCCTGATTGATGTGGAAATCAGAGGTGGCCTGCTCTCCATTGCAGAAACTCTGAAAGTTAAGAGCAAGCCCTCATCTCTCATCCTCCACAGATTACAGTATGACAAGGTGAGTCTTTATAACTTTTAGATTCAAGACACATTCTCTAGCTTATATTAGCACTAACTGGTGAACAGCTGTGCTAAGAGTCCTTACCTCTGTTCAACTGGAAATTGAACTGTACTGGGATCAGATGAATATGATTCCTGTAAGGTACTGAAAGACAAAGTCAGATTATACTGCCATTATCTCTCCATCTCCTAGATGCATTCAATAACTTAGATTTTTCAATCACAACCAGTGAAATATGTGTTATGAGTTCATGTTGTTTTTTGTCTACTTTTTCCTGAATGAGTATGTGGTTAAACCTGTGTTTAACAAAGAGAGCTTTGTGTAAACACCAAGTGGCAACAAGTGGCAAGTTTAGGTAGTAATAAAATGCAGTTTTGGTCTGAAGTGGTTTGAGAGAATCAGTTTTAGTAAACAAGAAATTAAAGATTAACCAGCAAAATGTGTTTATTACTTTTGGGTACAATTATCACATCTATATAACAATAGCTCTGTTTCCATTCTCCTGTATTTGTGTGCGTTTTGGCTATGCGCATAAAAAAATGGTTGATGGAAACACCAAGATGCTCATATATTTTGAAAATGGGCGTAAAACATGTATGCGCATAACTGAATAGAATAAACTTTTTATTCAATAAGAAATAATGCACATAAACTATGATGGAAACACTTTTACAGAACAAATTCCAGTATGGCATTAAAAAATTTCATGTGATTTTGTTATAAGAGATCATGTGATGATAAAAATGTGTGTGAATGGATAAACCAGCAGGCTGAGCACACTGTAAACCATCTGAAATGTTGTTTTGGTCATTCTAAAATGCCAAACAATCTCAGGATTAATGTTATTATATTATTAATTACCTCCAGAATCAAGAGTGTCTGTGCTCCGCATCTCACGCCTTTACGTGAAGTTTCACAAACTGATTTCGAGAGGAGCATGTGATATGATTGACTGCAGCTGGCCACTCATCTACACTCATTAGCTAGCCAATCAGATTGATCCAAACTCACTATTAGTAGCCTAATTAGAACTACTCCCTTATGTTAATTTTTCCGAAGAAACCCCCCATCCACCCCTTCTCCTCCTTTCCTCCTTTACCAGGGGAGCTCTCGAGAACCACCTGATCTCGTACTCCCCTCACATGCTCTATGGACTGGGCGGGAGCCCTGAACTTAGCTATCTCCGAGCTCAGAGTTCTCTCCCGGGACAGCATGCCAAACCTGCTAACTTGCTAACAAGTTGTAAAACAATATGTAAGTGTGAACTATTGAAACACCAACAAGCGTTCATTGCATGTTGGCATACTGTCTTCTGAGACGCAAGTGATTGATCAAAATAAAGAAAAGATTCACGCAGCTTCTCCTACTGCAGTAAATTTTGTTTTTACTTTTGATATTTAGTGTCAGTTTATCAGAAAGTGACTATTTTGTTCTCTTTGACTTGTTGGATGGAAACGCTGCTTTATTTGCAAATGTTTTGAGCAATATTCCAGTTTTGCGCTTAAATTTAATTTACAACTTTGAATAAAAAAAACATTAATACAGTCTTTTAACTGAATTGGTTTCTTCATTGAATTTTCACTTTTCAAGGACGAAACTCAGGGATCAGGTGAATGCGATGTCTCCTCAGAACTTAAAATACGTTAATCACTTACAGTATTTAAGAGAAATTAAATCTCAGATTCATCAAATACCATAAGTATCTAAGAAAAACATAATTTCCAAAAACTACAACATCATATAGTCTTTCTATATTTCTTTTTATTGTTCATTCAAAACAATAATATATGCTACAGTATGTGACCTGGAACATACTGAAGTAATACTATATTTACCTTTGATCCGATGGAGAATGTCCATCTTTTAACTGAATTGGTATCTTCATTGATTTATCACTTTTCAAGGACAAAACACTGGGATCAACTAAATGTGATCTCTGCGATAAACTGCAGAATAAAATAAAAACATAATAATACATAAAAATAAGTGTGCAGTCATCAGAAATTAAGGACTACAATGCTGCTTTTGGTCTCACTATAGTGGAAAACCATAATGACAATGCTAACTTACGCAAAACTTCAAATTAGGTATTTTACCTTTGGTCCACTGCAGAATGTCCATCTTTTAACTGAATAGGTATCTTCATTGATTTGTCACTTTTCAAGGACAAAACACTGGGATCCAGTGAATGTGATTTCTGCATCAAACTGCAGAAGGAAAAAAAAAAGAAAAAAAACATAATAATACATAAAAATAAGTGTGCGGTCATTGAAAATTAAAGACTACACTGAGTACATTTAGATGGACACCAATAATCTGATTGAGACAATACTCTGATTAAGAGTCTTATATGTAAACAACGATGTTTAATGACCTTAATCTGACTAAAGTCATAATCGAACTAAACAGAAATCAAATTAAGACATGTGGAGTATGTCGATTTCAGTTGCATTGTTGAAGTGTGGTTTATTTATAAACTAATTTAGAGAGGATCACATGCTTATGATTGATCACAGCTGGTCATGCATCAGTTTTACATATTGCACCAATCAGATGAATGCTCACTATAAATTACCAAAGTTTTCCACTCCAGTCATCTTCATCTTGAAGAATCACCCCTTCCACCCCTACTCCTCCCCCTTCTCCTGATAGGGCGGCACAGTGGCTCAGTGGTAAGCACTGCTGCCTCACAGCAAGAACGCCACTGGTTCAAGCTCTTATCATCTTGCATGTTCTCAACGGGCTCGCGTGGGTTTTCCCGGGATCTCCAGTTTCCTCCCACCGTCCAAAGGCATACAATATTAGTCAATTGACTCACCCAAAGTGGCATCATAAGTCTCTTAGCCAGCTATATCTTTTAGCTATTTCTAAGGCATTCATAAGCAGGGGAGTTCTCGAAATCTACCTGAGCTCAAACTCCCCTCTCGCCCTTCAAACGGGAGGGAGCCCCAGGATCGAAGATATTCTGAGCTCAGGGCTCTCTCCCAGGACAGCATGCCCAACACACTTTATTATCAAACTATTACAGATTAGGCATACTAATTAAGATTTTCACTGCATTTTGCAACTGGATAGTCTATACACACACGACTGTTTGACTCTTTTCTGCACCTATCAAGTCAGTGAAGAACCACAGATGCCTGCATCAAGAAATGAGGAGGGTTTTTCCAATACGGCATGCGGTATTATCCAATTCAGGTAAAACAACACTCTTCCAGCAGTTCATGCTCGCATCCAATACCTCAATTTGTCAGAGGGGGCATGCATGAAATGTTCCTGACTGAAAGTCATAAAGTGCTAAACTTCAGTTTAAGTCGACAAATTAAAAATTAAACACCCAAAAAACTCTAGAGAAAATGTGCATAGTTTGGTGACATTTATCGAATTATATGCTAAAACAGGATCATGACAGACACATTTAAAAGCAACAAATTTAAACACCTTAATCATATTATGGTCTTATTCAGATTATGTAAAATAATTTGACTGTTGATGTCCATGTAAACGTAGTCAATGTTGCATATTGTCACACTATAGTGAAAACCTCATATTGACAATGCTACTTCACATGAAGTTGTACTTTACGATTAGTTTTATTTACCTTTGATCCACTGGAGAATCTAAATCTTTTAACTGGATTGGTATCTTCATTGATTTGTCACTTTTCATAGACAAAACACTGGGTTCTGGTGATTGTGATCTCTCCTCTGAACTGGAAAAAGAAATAAAATCATATAGAGTTTCAGAAAACTAAACTGTTTATAAATTATATTATATTATATTATATTATATTATATTATATTATATTATATTATATTATATTATATTATATTATATCATATTATATTATATATCACTTTACCAGACAATATTAAAACAGGGTGTGAATTACAGGGGGGTTTGGGGGATCAGACCCCCCTTATTTACGCTTGATCCCCCTTGAAGGACATCAAAACAAAATTGCTTCCCTTTAATAGTTAAGAAATAGTTTGATCTGTATCTTAAATAATATTAATAATGAAAATAATAGATAACTTAAATATACAGTTAAAGTCAGAATTATTAGCCCCCCTTTGATTTTTTCTTTTTTAATTATTTCCCAGATGATGTTTAACAGAGCAAGGAAATTTTCACAGTATGTCTGTTCTTCTGGAGAAACTCTTCTTTGTTTATTTTCGGCTAGAGTAAAAGCAGTTTTTAATTTTTTTCACACCATTTTAGGGTCAAAATTATTAGCCCCTTTAAGCAATACTTATTTGATAGTCTACATGTAACCCTGCCGGTACTACGCCACCCAACCCACTTCGATCTGGTATTGAACCGGCAACCTTCCGCATGGGAGTCTGTTGTTCTAACAAGGAGGCTAAAGAAGACCATGGCCTCTTGGTCTGTCACTAGAGCACCTTTAGAGTTCAGAGGAGTGAGGTGTACCTGCACAGCACTTACTAGCTGGCCTCCGTTACACTCAACCCCCTAAACCTCACTCCCAACCGATCACGGCACCAATGTAACCCCGCCGGTGCTTTGCCACCCAGCCCACTATGAGCTGGTATCGAACCGGCGACCTTCCGCATGGGAGTCGGTTGCTCTAACAGGGAGGCTAAAGACCATGGCCTCTCGGTCTGTCACTAGAGAACTTTTATAGGTCAGAGGAGTGAGGTTTACCTGCACAGCACTTACTAGCTGGCCTCCATTACAGACAGAACAAACCATCATTATACAATAACTCACCTAATTACCCTAACCTGCCTAGTTAACCTAATTAACCTAGTTAGGCCTTTAAATGTCACTTTAAGCTGTATAGAAATAAAAATATCTAGTCAAATATTATTTACTGTCATCATGGCAAAGATCAAATAAATCAGTTATTAGAGATGAGTTATTAAAACTATTTATTAAAAATTAAAATCTGCTCACCATTAAACAGAAATTGGGGAAAAATAAACAGGTGGGCTAATAATTTAGAAGGGCTAATAGTTCTGACTTCAACTGTACATTTGACCACCTCTGTAATGGTCATACCAATATGAATGCATGTTTGTGCCAAAAAAATATTAATTCATCAGTTTGAAACCAGCAAATCTAAAGCACCATAGTGTTTACAGAACAAGTTCCCTTAATATGTTTAACATCACAAATATCATTGAGAACCACTCAATATCCCTTTAAACACTGAAAACAGATTAAATACAGATATAAATTTGGTTCACTGAGGCATTTTTTCGAACATAAAATAGTAGAATATAGTATAATTCACACCCTGTTTATAACCAACAGTTATGCTAAGCCACATGTAAACACAAGGTACAGTAATCGTATTTACCTTTGGTTTAACAGAGGATCTTCATTTTGTAACTGATCTGGTGTTTTCATTGACTTGTGCCTCTTCATGGGTAAAACACTGTGCACAGGAGAATCTGATCTCTTCTGCTGAACTCTGTCAGATACAGTTCAAATAAATTCAGTCCTCTTTTTTGTAAACTGTATTAGTTAAAACTGAAATTGCATTGATTTGTTTTACTTTATTCCAGTATCTAAATAAAAATTGCAGGAGTATAGAAATTCAAATGAATACATCAGTATTTTGAAAAAATCTTTCCCTCACCTTCTCTCGCCATGAGAAGTGTCAGGATAATCAGTGTCGTCTTCAGCATTCTTCATGATGTTTCTGTTTCCTAACTGCTGAACAGATTCAGTCTGAAATCTGTGATCATCATAATCTAATAAATACAGAGATAAAAACCAAAAAAAACAAAGGGTCTTTATTCTCTTGAGGGTAAAACAACAGAGCTGAAAATGGCAGAGCAAGTAAGAAAAACAAGGAAAATGCTAGAACTATCTAATCTAGTTTGACAGGTTTGTGGTTAGTCAGTAAAAGTACCTTCCTGGTTTATTTATGCAGTTCACATGCACTCAGGTTTTGTAAGGCTTTGACTTTGTAAAGTAGAATAAGTGCCTGATTTAACTTGCAGTAAATACATTTTTGCCTTTACTTAATCAGACCTAATGCACTGAATTGGAATTTAGTGCCTTATTTATACAAAAAATATGTACAAGTATACTTCCAAAGCTAAAAATCTGATGTATTTTAGTCGTTATTCTTTAACCCAAACTGATTCAAACTGCTGAATGCAAAACAATAAACTTCAGTATGTACAGTTGTCCTCACCAAATCTTCTGGATTTATCTCACATTCTGGAAACAAACAATGATGCTGTTTTCTTTCTCATTTTTCACTGCTTACCTGCAGTGTGGAGGTGGAGCTAAATATTCTGTTAAACTGTCATTGTGATTCAGCACTCTTTACGCATGAAGCAGATACTGTATTGCTTAAAGGAGACCTGTTATGAAAAAAAAAAAAAAACTTTTAGAAGGGCTTTAAACAGTTGTGTGGCAAGAATGTGCGAATATAGCCAGCCTCTAATGGTTAAACTTAAATCATTTTATTTTTTATAATCATCACTCTTGATTAAAAAAAAAAACTTCAAACTTTGATTGACATTCTCTCCTTGTGCTTGTCATCAGAGGGGGAAAGCCCCACCCATTAGTCACTATCTCTCCTTCATTAGCATAAACATATTTATTATCATAAATAACATATTTTCATTTATTAGCGTAAACTCATAGTCCTGAGTGAGATGCAGCAGGCAGCCATCAGAGTTTTCACATCGTACCTGCTGAAGATAATGTCAGCAGCTAAGAGGCATTATAAATGTGGTGTTTTAGGATGCACAAAAGAACGCCGTAATATTCATAGACGACATTTTCTGAGTCGCTTTTTTTGATATTTTCAGTTTTGCACAAAGATAATGTTAGTCTTGTTTTTGTATCTGCCACTATGCTGATAAATATGTGTTTTAGCTCCTCCCTCTTTTAAAAAGATCCCATTCTCATTTGAATTTAAAGTGACGTTACCAAATTGGCACAATTTGGATCAAAGCCTAAAAGGGGCAGTTTCAAAGAGTTATTAAAGTATTACGAGTTATTAGGCTATTATTAAAAATATGTGTGTGGTATTTTGAGCTGAGGCTCCACATACACGCTCTAGGGACATCAGAGACTTATTTACATCTTGTAAAAAGGCACATAATTGGTCCCCTTTAATGGTAATGCAAAAATGTATGTAAAGTATCAATTGGTGTATACCAAACAGCATGTATATGAAAAAACTAAGCCATTTCCTCATAAACGTCTTTCCTCATGAATGTAATCATTAAAGATAATCAGCTACGCTTAAGTAAAAGTCCCTTAAGATCTAGATAAAGGGAATCCCTTATGAGTCATATCATGCATGATATCATTTTCAGAAACTGCTTAGTCACAGTGTGTTGTTTTAACACATTTAGTTTCAGCTAATAAATCTTAGGTGGATCGCGGATGTAAGTGACCGGGAGTGGGGGGTGGTGGATAAAAGTAAAGAGTGGTAGGGGGGTTGGTTTGCAGGCCGTTGACAATAGCCCCTTTCACACAGTGATACCGGTAAATATCCGGAAAAATTCCGGAAGGACTTTACCGGTATATTCAAAAAAGCGCTGTTCACACAGGCGAGGACGTTACGGAAATTTTCCTGAAAAGAGCATTCACACATCCATTCCAGAATACCGGTAAATTCTGACATCATTCACCACAAATTAGCTTTAAACGGCTGCGCTTGTGTTTGTAAACATTTGACTACATTACAAACTCTGTGGATGATCAATATTGTGAACAACTTTCGCAGGATCACTTTCGCATGTCGAGATGTTCATAATATGTGCGTGTGCAGGCGCTCACAGGCTGTTTCACAGGCACACGCAAAGCTTGAAGGTAAACAAACAACGGCTTATCATAAGCATCTCATCGATGATTATTTACACAATTGGCATTAAGAAGAACATAAAAACGTGATCTGACTTCTAGCAGCTTAATGTGTCTGGAAACATATTCAAAGGCTTTTATTCTCATAAACCGCGCGGACGTAAATGCGTCTGACTGTTGTGATGGGCTAAAGCAGACATTTCACGTCAGCACGTTCTAGACGTGCACGCGCTTATTACGGCAATCTTCCTTCTGCATTCACACAGCGCAGCATTCCGGCAAATTGCCGGTAATCTTACAACTTCTCTTTCCGGAAAATAGCCAGAACTAATTTACCGGTATTTTCAAAAAGGACCTGTTCACACATACAACCTTTCCGGAAAATTGCCGGCAATTTTCCGGAAAGGTCTGTATGTGTGAAAAGGGCTAATGTCTCTGGGGGAGTGTATAAATTTATACAACAGTTCTGTCTGGTTCTCGAATCTGATTGGCTGATAGCCGTGATATATTTAAGTAATATCAGCACCTGTACAGCCTCTTTACCCTTTGTGTATTACTCCACACACATACAGCGAGCAAAAAGCAGACTCTACAGATCTAAAGTTTAAAAGATGCTTGCTCAGCGGTTTAACTGTCAGCTTATGATTTGAATCCAAGGCGGAAGAAAGTAGTTCCTCATACAAAAGGGTTTTTGAGACTCTCCATGTTTGATTTAGTTTTTATATACACAATTATGTCGTCAAACTGTTGTATAAATGCAATATCACACTAGTAGCAGTGCGATATGGCTGTATATCAGCACTGGTGGGGGCACTAAGGCACAAGTGCCGATATACAGCCATATCGCACTGCTACGAGTGTGATATTGCTCATATACATGTTTTGATAATTCTGAGATCCCGTGCTGTCCTTAAGTGAACCCAGGGGTTACACACTAGCGATCGGCGACTCACTGTATGTAAATTTGGCAAGCTGAACGCATTCTTCACTGTGCAGTATTGATTGACAATGGTCTACAGCCAATCAGGACACAGAACACAATGTGCTGTATAAAAATAATGAGAATAAGCAAAATTGCACTAAAAAAATCAGTGAAACTGTGTGGCCGCAAAAGGTGAACTGCGTTATAGTGAGGGACCACTGTAAAAGTGTTTTACCAATAACACTTAGCTAATATATTAAGCAATATTCTGAAACTATAAATAGATTTTCCATTAAAGTTTTGTTTTTATTTAACAATATTTTATTTTATTTCATATATTTTAGTTGAATTTTAATAACTTTAAATCCTGATGATAAGAATTAAAGTCAATGATTTGGTTTGTTGACTCATTTGTTTTACTTAATAAATCATACATAAATAGGGGTGACATGGTGGCTCAGCGGTTAGCACTGTCGCCTCACAGCAAGAAGGTGGCTGGTTTGAGTCCTGGCTGGGTCAGTTGGTATTTCTGTGTGGAGTTTGCATATTCTTCCCATGCTGGTGTGGTTTTCCTCTAAGTGCTCCGGTTTCCCCCACAGTACAAACACATGTGATTGGTGAATTAAATTATCTAAATTGCCCATAGTGTATGAGTGTGTGTGAATGTGAGAGTGTATGGGTGTTTTCCAGTACTGGGTCCACTGCGTAAAACAAATGCTGGAATAGTTCATTGAATGGTTCATTCCTCTGTGGTGAGCCTTTATAAATCAGGGACTAAGCCGAAGAAGAATGAATGTATGAATGAAATCTTATGTAAATAATTACACATTTTCTAATTGTTGTTACTACAAATACCACTAAAACCCAACACAATCTTACAGCAATTCGTAACTTTTTCATTTAGTGGCTAATTCGTATGAATTCGTATGATCTAATTCGTACAATTTAGTACGATTTGCTCATCCCCCCAATGACAGTTGGGGTTAGGGGTGGGGTCAGGTGCCACGCCTCCTTTTTAAAATCGTACCATTTCGTACGACTGAACTCGTACGAATTCGTACGAATTAGCCACTAAACTGGCAAAATGTAAAATACTTACGTTTTCTCGTGAGATCAGGCTGCTAAAACCATACATTTTGACCATTACAACTGATGTGTATTGGGACAATCTTTCTTTAAAGATGATTTTTCACTCAAACCGTTATCCTTTAACATTTTTTATTTTCTTTATGTTTCTTGTATTTTCTCAACATTATATTCCGAGAATAAGAATCAAAATCAGTGATTTGGGTTGTTTTCTGCTAATGTGACTGATACTTATTTAAATTACAGCATATCCTGCAGTCAGGACTCATCCACATACTCACTAAGTTTATTGCACTGTATTTCTTTATATCTGCATTCATCAGCCTGATGACAGATGCGTGAGATCATCTCAATGATGTAATAACTCTCTCTGATTTTCCCAGCATGTTAATGCAAATAAGCTTATAGTAAAGGTGCGTCATGAATATGCAGATGAACTTCCAGAAAGAGTGATTGATTGTTATTTTTATTTTTGTTGGGGGGAGATAAGAGGATCTATAAATCACTTGTCTTATATGCACACACACACACACACGCCAAAAGGACCCAGTTTGGACCAGCTGTTCAGATGTATATGTGCCATGCAAAATATTCACTGACTGTACAGTTGGAGTCAGAATTATTAGCCCTATACTGTGAAATTCAGTTATTAAAAAAAAAACATTTCCCAAGTGCCATTTATAGTAGAGAATTCTTTCAACTGAATTTTAAGCGATCATTTTAACAACTGATTTGTAATTTTAAAAATGCAAAAAAAAAAAAGAAGCTTTTTTTAGTTAGTTTTTCTTGTTTCTAGTCAACATAACAAAACAAAAAAATCTTAAATCAACAATAATTTTCAAGACAAGCAAAAAATATTGTCTTGTTTTAAGAAATAAAAAGTCTAAATCAAGTGAGTTTTTCCTGAAAACAAGCAAATTAATCTGCCAATGTGGTAAGCAAAATAGTCTTGTTTTGGTTTTGTAACAAGATTATTTTGCTTACCACACTGCCAGATTATTTTGCTTGTTTTTTAGG